TGTTCCCTGCGCTTGAGAATTGAAGGGAAAGCGTCGTTCCCTGCGTCTCGTTGAAGGGAATGCGTGGGCCCCACGCTAGTCCAAATTGAGGGGCTGCAGCTCTGTTGCTGTGGCTGCAGATGGGCAGTTGGCAGCTCGTCTCGGCTTGTTTGCGCTTGCTGATGAGCCTTCAGGTTTGGTTGTTTTCTTTAGGCCCTTTTGACCCTTCCGTCCTCGGGCCAAGGGAGTCGCGCTCCTTCGGTTTCTTTTCGGCCAGCAATGCCCACTCAACCTGCCTGTGTACTTGGTGGACCGTGGTGTTGTGCAGCCCAGTTTCACTTCTCCCCGCCGTTCTCTTTCCTAAGTACGTTTGGTTGCGATTGGTGGGGTTTAGGATACTCTTTACGAGCCCCTGGAGGTTCCTCTCCAGCCGCTCCCTCAGGGTCCCCTCTCTTGAGGTTGGCTTCGCCCAGGTTAAGGGCAGCTGCTCTGGCTCCTCACCTCTGGGGTTGCTCCTCACCTTCCTGGCTGAGGTTCTCACTTTCTGAGGCTTTCAAGCCGGGGCACAAAGTTTTCACCCCCTCTGAGGCTACAGAAGCCAGGACCCCGTTTTTACCCTGGGACCTGCCGAAGGCATCCCAAAGGTGGTACTGAAACCCTGTACAGAGGTAGGGCCTCCGCCCCTCGCCTTACTGGCCGAGGTTGCCGTAGCCCTTCACCCAATAGGGGTCTGAGGTACTCACCCTTCTGCATGGAATTCACGTGTTGAGTGAGACCTCGTCTACGACGGCCTCCGCGCTCGGCGAAAAGAAAATGATGCCCATAGAGGCTATCAACACCTCTTCATGTTAGGTGCAAGTGTTTGAAAGAGTTTCGGGAACAGACTGTCGTTTTCGCTGTTGCTTGGTTTGCTTTTGGCAGCGCAGAGCAGCAGCAGAGTTTTCACGAATTTGTTTTCGCATGGCACATGTTTTGTTTTTGCTGAGAAGCTGAGAGAGTTGAACTTTCAGCTGGGAAGGCTTCACGCAGCAGTGTGCAGTGACTTGTAAGCGCGTGACTGTTTTGAGAAGCTTCACGCAGCAGTGTGCAGTGACTTGTAAGCGCGTGACTGTTCTGAGAAGGTTCACGCAGCAGTGTGCAGTGACTTGTAAGCGCACGACTTCGCTGTGTAGGCTCAGGAAGTAGTTGAGGACGGTGCTTTGGCCGAAGCTTGTGTTTTGTGTGGTCAAGACGACAAGAAGAAGCTGTGGCCAAGAAGAACGACTACTTGTGTGGTCAAACTCGCCGTGAGCAAGTTTCACACCAACCAGAGCTTGTGAGAAGCCTGACGCAAAAGTGCTGTGTTTGGTGCGAAGTGCGAAGCGAAGCAGAAGCAGTTGCTATCATTTACACTCAGAGCCCGCGGAGCTTCAGGATCCTTGGCGGTGGATTCCGATCTGTTTCAGGCCCTGCTGCACGACCTAAGCTTTTCGCTTTGTTCGGTTTGGGTTTCGAGTTGAAGGTTTACGGTGGCGGCTTCAAAGGCGCGGGGAGTTTGCAATTTGCAAAATGCGGGGGGGTTGGGGGGGGCGAAGTATTTTCTTCGCTTTTGAACCCTCTTGGGCGATTTCGTGTGGCATCTGCTTTTGTGTTGAAAGAAGGCGTCTGTTCACTTTGCTAATTTTTCGCTTTGTACGGTTTGGGTTTGGATTGAAGGTTTGCGGTGGCGGCTTCAAAGGCGCGGGGAGTTTTGCAATTTGCAAAAAGCGGGGGGGTTGGAGGGGCGCAGCCCCCCCCATTGAGCTTTTAAGACGGGCTTCGCTGAACGCTTTTTTATGCGGCCTTTGTGTGTCTCTGAATTTTCATGTTTCTGCTTCTGTTTTATTCGCTTTTAACCCCTTAAGCGATTTCGTGTCGAAGAAGGTCCTCCTCCTTTAAGCCTTTCTTCAAACCAATCCTAGGCCTGCCTTGAAGCCCTCCTGGGTTTGACCTGGGTTTGAACCTGGGTTTGTTCCTGGGTTTCAACCTGGGTTAAACCTGGGTGCTTCAAACTTGGGTTCCACACCTGGGTTAGAACCTGGGTTTCATACCTGGGATCAAACCTGGGTTCAAACCTGGATTATAACCTGGGTTTAAACCTGGGTTTAACCCGGGGTTGAACCCAGGTTCGAACCCAGGTTAAACCAGGTCAAACCCAGGTTCAAATCCAGGTTAAACCCAGCTTTCAAACCTGGGTTCCCGGGGTTGTTGTTGTTGTTCCCCCCCCCGGGGGGGAGGGAACCCAGGTTCAAAGGTTCAAACCTGGGTTAAACCCGGGGGGAGGGGGGGACCAGCCTCCAATCAGGGCAGGGCATCCATGCCAGTGTTGAGGCATCGGTTCACGTTCTTTTTTTTGTTCATTTCTTCGCTTGTACGGTTGGTTTGGAGTTGAAGGTTTGCGGTTTAGGCGGCGTCAAAGCCGCGGAGAGTTTGCAATTTACAAAAAGATGGGGGAGCGCAGCCCCTGGATGTAATTTTTGCTTTTGTGTTGGGTTTTTGTGCATTTTTTTGGGTTTCGAACTTCCGACCGTGTCGGAAGACTCTCTGGATTCATTTCAACTTCTTTTGTTGGAGTGGTTGCTCTGATGCAGGTTTTTGCATTGAGAACTTTGGTCAGTGCATTGTTTGGGGGCGAGGCTCAATAAATGTGTGGCACGCAGTCTTTCTCTGGGGACTAGATCATTGCTGACACAGTTTGGACGAGAAGACATGCAAATTCCACCAAGGCGATGTGGTCCGTGCATCGGCGCCGGTGGCACGGCCACTGATACCTGCCTGCCGCCATCGTCAGACGCGAAAAGCTTTTTGCAAAACCAAAATTGGAATTGATGCTGTCTCAGCGAACGCACTCTGTTGGAGAAATGCCAATTGTTGATATCGGGGGAGACGTCACTGACAACGATCGTTGTCATCCAAGGGTCAACAGGGCCCATCGTGTGACGATCCAGCCAAAAGACACGAGGGTTGTCTGTTGTCCGACGGACGGCCGGAGCTTCGCTTCTCTTGGACGACTTTTGGGCGTCGATCCGATCCTCTGGCTTGAAGTCGCTGGAAGCGACGCTTTTTCTAATGCTGAACGGCTGCTGCTGCCGTTGCAGCTGCAGCCGCCGAGGCCCACCGACGCTAAAAAATGGACAAAAAGGCACGGGCCAAACTCGGATTACTGGAGAAGCACGACCCCTGTCGAAGATCTGCATAATTGCTGCTTGGTGCAACGACAGACGGACAGCGACGGAGCCGCATTATTGCAGTTGCATTCGGACATGTCCATGCTCTTGAATGGTTTTCGCTGAAATTTCTCGTTTCTTGCCGTCTTTGGTTTTTGACTTCTTGCCATGCGTTTCTTGCTTTTAAAAACTCTCACCAGCAGAATTTCTCCACTGCAACTTGTTGTTAGGATCGAACATGTGTCGAAAAAGTTTTTTCGAGCCTGAACTGAGCTTTTCCACGTATCGAATGTGCACCTTCGTGTCTGTTGCTCTCTGTCAGCTGTGCGTTTCAAACCATTTTTCTCAATACGCCACCAAACGACAGAACTCGTGTGTACCTTGTGGCTGTGCGTTTGTGGTTTGGAAAGCAACATTGGCGTGGAGTAGCCGCCAGACTGCGGTTTGTATTGCAACGTGTTATCCGACCAAAGGCAAGTTTCTTGAGCTTAGCAGCCGTAAAATTGCATGCCGAAGAGATAAATTCAGCCAAGTGAATGTTCGCCCAGTGACAGCCAATGCAACTAGTTTTCATTTCTCACAGCAATCGAGTTCGAAGAGTTACAGAGGGTTGCACATGTCTCAAACCACTCTTAAAGTTTCGTCATTCGCCTTGTTGGCATGTATTGAATGAAGCTTGCAAAGTCCTGCAGATGAACAGGTGAAGGTGTCTTGACGGAACTGAAGAAGAAAAGTTTTGAACAGCTTCCACTCTGGCCAGTTACTAAAAGCGAGAACTGAACAATGACTACGTCTCGCGCAGTTTTTCTTCCGATTTCTTGGCGTTTGGTGGACTCTGAGTTTATGCTATTGTTCTCGTTTTCATGTCTAACATTTATGTTTTGGCTTGGTGTGTGCGCCGCGTGCAGCTCGGAATTCGGTGTTCGTGCAAGACCACTGATGTTTTTCAGTCAAAATTTTGTTCTGTATGGCGCTCAAACGATGACCACTGAATGTTTCGTTATCACCTCTCCTTGGCTGCACTTCAGTGCAGCCTCCAACATCAGGAACCCGGCAGCCACAGCATTCACGTTGCATCAGTGACCAAGAGGACTCCAGACTTGAAATTCTGTAGCACATGGTCACTGTGAGTCATTGTGCACGTTATGTGAATGTGGATGACTTTTCTTTTCGGCAGATTTTCTTTCCGCAAGATAACGCCACGTGTTTGTTGTCCGAGCGCGCGCAAAAAACGTCCATTGCATGTCACTGCAAGTGCTTTTGTACTGAGTAACCAATTTGAGACAACGCACACGCACGGAGCAATAACAGGTTTTTACACTTTGTGAGGTGTTGCTTGATGCTACACAGGATGTTTTCGCAAATAGTTTTTGTGTTAATCTTTTTGAAGCCATGATTTCGTTGCGCTATATGAATGTGTCTTGAAACATCTATTTCGTCGCTTTCTGTACGACTATGGTGTATTTATTGGATTGTATGTGGCCGTATTTGGAGCATGTTCAATTAGTGCGTTATTTCAGCATCATTTCTTTCTTCGACATCCAGCCTTGCAGCAATATGTCACAGGTTGGACATCTTATTAATTTTAGCAACCGGAATAGGCTAGGCCTGCTGAACAGCAACAAGTTTCAGAGGAACAATCGGTCAAGACGACCATCAACTGCTGCTTCCTGTACGCATTTGGTGCAATGTAGGTGTGGCCCAAAGTAGCCACCAGGCGAGTTTCAGGACTTTTCCTGGATGATGACGTTTGTCTGCCAAGCCCGCAGCGCACTCGGATGGCCTTGAAAGTGCAGGCAGTGCCGGTGACAAGATGACCGTTTCACCTCTTATGGCATGATGAAGACTCTACTGCTTCTCGCTTGCATGGTAAACGAAGCGCGAAACATGTCGGGTGAACCTGAATGTCCATGCGTTTCGAACAATTCAGAATTGATTGACCAACTGCGATCGGAGCTTGTGGCATTGGGCCGTCCCTCAACTTACGGGCTGATGGGATGTGATGTCTATGATGCGAATATCTCATCATCTGATTGTGGGTCCAATGAGGAGCCACACTGCTTAAACCCGTGGTGCTTTGTGGATATGACTTTATGCCCGATACACCCAGACAAATGTGAAGCAGCAGGTGGCAGTCTGGGCAGTGAGGTGTCACCACATTGCCGCACGCGCCCGCATTCCTCTCGTGCATTGTTGAACATGTCGGCTTATTACAGCTACGAGACATGTGGGTCTGTGAATATGTACAACAAGAGTAGGCACTCGCTGGATGTTGGCGGACATGTCATCAGAGTTGTCGTCGATCCAGCAGCACCGTGGATTCTGAAGCGAACTGATATTGCTCGAAATGAAGAATTTGGTGGGCCGAGCTACGATTTTTTTGTGAGGACCTTGGATCTGTTCGAGCCAAAGCCTCTGCTGAGCATCGTCCCGGGCTGGGCGACGCAGCAGTCCAAGCAGAAGTTCCAGAGTGATTACACTGCTTGTGTTCATGACGTTGCCCTTGGCAACTTTGATCTGTGCATTGCAGATCTTTGGCTTACCCCCGAACGGCACCTGCTTGCCACTTTTGTCCCGCCTTTGCGGCAAGACTACTTTTTCCTTGTGGTGCCAAGAAAAGTTGAGAGAGTCACTTTGTGGACGCGGTTGAGAAGCCCTTTCCTACCCTTTACACCAGGAGCCTGGCTCGGCATTGTCGTGTTTCTATGTTTCACGTCGTTTCTTCTGTGGCTGATGCAAGTTTGTGAGGATGACCAGCATGATAGCTGCAGGGCCAAGCTTGTCTGGAGCTTGGAAGAGTTGGCTCGCGTCCATTTCAACTTGGTTCATGATTTCCTCCTGGGCCAGAGCAGCATTGAGCTGCACAATGGTGCAGCACGTAAACTCTTGAGCGCAGCTGTTTCTTTTTTCATACTCGTGGTGCTGGCAAGTTACACGGCCAGTTTGGCATCGATCTTAGTGATTCAGCGGCAAAGCATTGGCACGATAAACAATATCGAAGAAGCCATCGACCGCGACATTCCTATCTGTGCACCACTGGCTTTGCTTCGAACTTTCTCTAATGTCTTTCCACGTGCAACCTTCGTGGAAAGTCCTGAGGCACGAAATGCACCGCGCCTCATGTACTCTGGGGCGTGTGGGGCACTGATCATGTCGCAGGTTTCCATCGACAGCATGCACGCGGGCAAGCTTCGTGAGCACGACTGCAATGCTGTCACAAGTGGGAGCATCAGCGAAGAGGAAGGCCGCTGTGAGAGGGACTTTCTGGGCAACCCTCGAAATGATTGCAATCTCATGCGTGTTGGGGACCTTCTGTGGTCCGTGCCGATCTCATTTCCGGTGAGTGAACGGATTGCACACAGTATGTCTTGGGCTGTGACGTATGCCATGACCAATGGCCTTATGGAAGAGATGAAGAAATTAAACACAGAATTTTTTCCCGTATCTCATTGTGATGTCGAGGAGGAACGAACTGAAGAGGACGGTTTGACTTTGGAGGATCTCAGTGGCACCATCCTCATCGCCGTGTCCATTGCTGCCTTTGCGCTTCTATGCTTTCTTGGAAGCATCATTTGGAACGTTCTTCGTCGCGGTTTGTCGAGAGACTCAGAAGCTGCAGAGGCAGCGTCAGCGAGCACAGACGGGGACAAAGGGCCCATTCAGTTTAAAGGCAGTCAAAATTTTGCTCACCTGGAAGCGCAACCCTTCGAAGACCGCATTGTGCCCACGGAGCTCGACGTCGCAGGAAGGATGCAAGGAGCATGTGGCTGTTTCCACTCAGAGATGCGCTGAGCTGCTGTGAGACCGTCCATTGCCTGATTGCCAAGAATTGCTGCAGATTCTAAGACGGGATCTGCAGGTTCATGGCTTCAGAAGCCTTGCGATTTGATTTCAAGCTGTGCGCTTGATTCTGCGGCCAACACCGCTCGTCGAACCTCGATAAGTCTTGGCGACAAGCTTCATGCCTCACACAGAAGCTACCATCTACAAGTGTGCTTGATGTTTGCAGTTGAAGGAGGCTCGCCTGGGTCTGATATCTGTTCAAGGTACCTTTTAGTTCGCGGGAAAAGTGCTGTGCTGGGCTGCTGGGCCTCCGGTCGCTGCGCAGCCGGGGTCTCAGCTTGCGGACTCTGTTTGTCCGCGGCATATGCAGATCGAGCGAGGTCCATGCACTCCTGACTGCCCCAACGAAGAAGCGTGCAATGGCACGGGGGGCAACACGCTTAGCCAGTGGTAATTGCGTGGCCACATTGCCGTAACGTGTAGAAATGCAGTGGCTTGAGACCTTGCCAGGCGGTCTTTTTTGTGCTCTGCTGGAATCTTCTCGTGCAGGCAGGCACCTGCACTTCGCATCCAGCACTGCGCTTTTGCAGCATGTGGAGTGTTCCATACTCAGCACGGTCGTCCAGGTACGCACACAAGAAATTGCTGGCGGCTGTGATGACTTTTTTTGCGATGGTGAGGAGGTGGATGCACTCCCTCTGCTCCCGGCTGCTGAGTTGAGGCGACGGTAGACTTCACTTTTGCCTTCGTACATCACGTATCGACAGCCGTCTTAACGTTTGGTTTGTTCACAATCAAGCATGGGGTTCATGGAAGGGCAAGAGTTCTGTGCGACCCGCTTGAAGCTGGCATGCGCATGAGACCTTGGTGAATCTGCGGCATTGGTTCTTGCAATGCTTGCCAGGAGGTAAATTTCAGCACGCCTTTACACATCAGCGGCAAAACTCGCCATAATTACGAGTGCACATCCCCAGAACCCTATGTTGATCCGGGGCCAGCTCCGCAACCTTGTAGCGTCGCTGATCTTGTGTTCTTTTTCAAGCAGGGGTGGTAGCTGCCGGACGGTCTTTGCTGACTTTCGAAGATCACGGAGCTGCTCGAGCCGCATCCGGTCCAGTGCGAGTGCACCTACCAGCCTACCAGCTGCGGAGCGCAATGGATTGCAAAGAGGAATGAGGACCTTGGGATTGCTGGCCTGGGCGGTGCTCCGCACCTGCACCGGTGATGTCCGTGAACCGATGGTTATTCTTGGTCCGGAGAATTTTCCAGGAAGGCATGCCCGCGTTCTTCATTTGATCATGTTCTACTCACCGTACTGTGCTCACTGCCAGACTGTGGAGCCGCACCTTCTGGGTTTAGCCGATGCTTTGCGGGGGGAGGATGACATCGTGGTCGGTGCGATCGACTGCACCAACACAAGCAACCAGGCAGTTTGCCGTCAGCACAACATTACTGGATATCCAAGCATTTTTGCGATCGGCTGGAGACACATGGTCCAATACTCGGGAGCGGCTTCGGAATCGCAGATTGTGTCCTGGTTCGACAAGGTGCGTAGCCGGCGGTCGAGTCGATCGAGTGGCGGGAGTGTGGCATGTCCCCGCGGTCTCTTTGAAAGGCGAAAATCCGTCGTTCCGCTTTGTGTGGACCATTATCCGGACGACACGGCGAAGCATCCCTGGCTAGTGGTGCTCTACAAGATGCAGCAAGACCTCCAGGAGCCGGTCACGTCAGCTGCCAGAGACTTGGGCAGACAAGGCGGTAAGAAGCAGAGGGAACGGCTTCAACTCTTGGCACACCAGCACAACTTCGAAGTGAACGAAGCACACGTCGCTGCTCAGGGCCTGGAGACTGGAGATGCCTTTGCGAAAGTCGGTGCGCTGTGCTGCGACTGCAGGCAGGACGAGAAAGTCTTCTGCAAGGACCTCCAAAAGTCCTGGCGGTCTCGAGGCTCGCCGCTAGTTCTCTGGGTGTCCAGAGACGGACAGGAGGTGCTGCAAAGTCCAGCGCGACTTCAGGACATCACTGCCAGAGAGCTGGTCCGTTTCGCCTTGTCGCGCTTGGGATATGTCTCGACTATGACCACGCCCAGACCCGGGAGCCAACCCCAATCCGAGCTTTGAGCCACGACGACATGGAATTGCCAAGGTCAGCAGTAACAGCTTCAACCGGAGAAGGCTTCCGCATGGAGAGTCTGGAGGGCCCCTGCGAGCCGCGCTCTTTCCTGTCCGATGCACTCGGGCACCACATTGCATGGTGCATATCGGACCCTTGTAGCAGTTTCGGATACTTCGATTGGTCACGCTTGGCCCTTCGTCTGTTTGAGAGGAGAAGTCCCGAAGCAAGCTTTGGCTTTGGGCAAACGCTGTGTTAAGTTTAAGGAACACCAAGACAGACGACAAGATTGAATCATGAGCAAGCAAGCTACAGCAGCAGATTCTGTAATCTCGAAGTCGGTGCTAGTATCCGTGAGAATATCATGAGACGAGGTGAGGAACTCGCGACGCCCTGGTTTGTCATAATGGTTATGGTCGTGCAGTAGATTTGCCATGGGGCCATTGCTGGCACGCGGCCTGTCGCAGGACTTTGCCCCTCTGAAGTCGCGTTGCATCAAGGGCCTCGCGGAATGGATCCTCACCTCTCCGTGCCAGCGAAACATCATCGTGCTCGCAGGGGCAGGGGCCAGCACCGCTGCCGGCATTCCGGACTTCAGAAGCCCCGGAACCGGGCTCTACGATAATTTGCAGAAGTACAACCTCCCTACTCCTGAGTCGATCTTCAGTTTGGACTACTTTCGCAAAGCCCCGGATGCTTTCTACGAGCTGGCAAGGGATCTTTGGCCCGGTGTTCAAGGCGGGCCGGGCGGCCAGAATCCATGCAAGCCCTCCCTCTGCCTTCGAAGATTTCAATCTTCTCCTCCCCACGTTGCGCACTGCCAGGCTACAAGCCCACCCTCACGCATCGCTTCATTTCGATGCTGGACAGGAAGGGCCGTCTCTTGCGGTGCTTCACGCAGAACATCGACGGTCTCGAGCGCCTTGCTGGGGTGCCCTCCGATCGCCTGGTCGCCGCGCACGGCGCCTCGGAGATGCACTCCGTGTAGCCCCGCTCCGCTCGTAGCGGCTCGCGCGTGTGTACAGCGTGTGGGGCGTTCTCCGTTTCGTTGACTGGGAGCGAGAGAGCTGAGCGAGAGAGCCGTTCCCCTGTCCAGGCAGCTTCGACACGGCCAGCTGCATCAGGAACGGAAAGAGCGTGCCAGCAGAGGAGCTGCGCCAGGCGGTGCTTTCCGGAAAGGAGGGCCCACGCGGCTGGCAGGCGCTGCGTGAGAAGTACGGAGGCCTGGTGAAACCAGACATCGTCTTCTTTGGGGAGAACCTGCCGGCATCCTTCTTTAGGCACCGAAGCCTGGACTTCTGCAAGTGCCAGCTGCTGATGGTCATCGGTCTGCACTTGCCATGAGTTACGTCATACGGTCTGCACTTGCCATGAGTTACGTCATACGTCAGTTATAATCTTGCAGTCAGCATCGTTCTCGAGCTGACGCAATTTGGGGATTGAGACAGCCTGAGGTCATTGGGACATCTCTCTCTGTCTATCCCTTTGCGGATCTGCCCCATGATCCACCGGGCTCATGCATAAAAGTCCTCCTGAATCGAGAAGATATCCCGCTGTTCGGCTTCGACATCTCTTTGTTGGGTGACTGCGACGAACATGTCCAAGAGCTGGTACCGGGCTTACAGATTTGTGTACTTCAGCCAGAGCTGTGTCGGCATCGAGCCGCATGTTCATTCGTTGGCCTCACGCTCAGCAGCTGTTGCGGGCAATGCGAACATCTCGTGTCACTGAGGTGACTCGGCTGGGTTGGCAAGAAGACATCAAAGAGATGGCAGACTCAAAGGCTTCAGCGAGTCGGAACTAGCCGGCAGATGGGAGAGACTGGGCGATGATCCCCCGATCTGGTCCCCGGGCGCAGCGTGCCCAAGTAGATCCGACCCAGAACGCGTGCAACACCATGCAGCACGCTCGGATCTTAACGTTTGCTGAAGAAGATCCCGTCACATTGCAAGCGCGCAAAAAGAATCTGTGCCAAGATTCCCCACAGGTGTGTTCCTGCAACCGTTTGGAGCAAAAAGCTCTGGCTCAACCGCCAATGCGAGGCATTCAGAGTACGGTTTAATCCGACCATCCTATGTGTGCAGAATCAAGCTTAGGTCAAAGGCAATCAACACTCTGGAACAAAGCGAAGTACCTCTTGGCCCGTTCAGAATAACCTTAGCCGCCGGACAGTAGAAGATGAAGCCATCATGCAGGACCAGCTGTGGATTTGTAAAGGCGTCGTTCGCTCGTAACATCTCCAGGACACGAGGGCACCTCAATGCTGGACGGTCAACATGCCGGCTGTCACGCGCCAGCCTGGGAGAATTCTGACGGCAATTTAAACCGCTGTCATGGCCTCGTACTCGAGGCAGATCTATTTCTCTGGCAGTCCTCATGAGCGTCACCTGGCGGCACATGTGTGCATACATGTGGTAGCAGGGATTGACAGGTTTTTCTGGTTATTGCATGTGATGGTACGTGGTGCCCTGTGGCAAGGCAGCGTTGTGCATGACCCGGTCGCAACAGCAGCTTTGCCGGTGCCTCGGAAAGCGTGCTTTGACATTCGCCACGCATGGCCCCCTGAGATAGTCGGTTTGGCCGAGTTAGCTTGATCTCGGGCAGCCACAAGCCAGCCAAAATGGCACCGCTCGCAGAAGCAGAGTCCCGTCTGCACTGGTGTTCCGCTTGGACGTGTTCACGTGCGTGTTCTTGCCTGCGTGGAACCTCACCATGGCTTTCCCGACAGCCTCACGTCCATCAAGCCCTTCCCCATTCTTCGACCGTAGGGCTTCCGAAATCTTTTATGCGACAATAATTATGGTGCACGCAGAAGTCCACAACCGCTTGAAGCTTGGAATTGCTGTCCCTCATCCATCCCACCCTAAAGTTGCCCGCCTGCCTGTTCTGCTCAGGGCCGGCGAGCTTGGCTGCTGGCTCTTGCCCCGGCTGCCGCGCAGGCACCAAGTGTGTGTAGGATATTTAGATAGGACAACAGCAACCAATCAAAAGTGATTCAACATTCATATGCGAGTTGGGTCAACTAGTGACTAGTGTCGCGCGAGTACCAGACTGCCAGACTGCACGTTGTGATTATGTGTCTGAGTTTGCTTTGGTGAAGTATCGTGGAACGCTTTGCGTAGCTCCGAATACAGGCGGCAATTCCGATGATGGAGGAGTTCTATGAGGCGGGACGCTCTAGCCGTGAGGATCCACATGAACAAAGGACCGTTTTGTAGTGGCTCTCGATCGTGGCAGCTTGATTCTAAGGGAAACGGAGCAAAGATCTCTCTGACGAAGGAGGAGGTCGAGGTGGCGCTGCAACAGTGGCAGCCAAGAACTGGTACGATTGTTCTTGCAGTCTGGGGAGGCAAACCGGTTCGCTGTGCAGACGGCATGGTTCCAGCAAAAAGGCACGGTCCTCTGCTGCATTGTGCGGCATTGTGCCCCACTGCCTTTACACCAGGCTTGTCCTTGTCGGCTGCGGCTGATGCTGCATTGGCCTCGCTCGGGGGTGTCGAGAGCATGCTGAAGCAGGGAGATTTCGATGGAGTCAGGCACACGGCACACGGGCAGGGGTCGTGACCCTTTCTTCTTTTCAAGTTCTCCTGGCACGCCAGGAACCTTCTCGTCTCTCCATCGGCCTCTCGACACATGCTTTCTTGAGATTGACGATCCTGGCGAGTGCACAGTCGTGAGCTCTGGCCAAGGTAGGTTCCATAGGGATCGCTGCTCGGCTGTCAACATTTGTGTAGCTGCTGAAGCTGTAGTCATTGCACCAAACAGTCCACGCGGGAGAGAGGTGCTTTCGCCATCGAGAGTGGGCGGCCAGCCTTTTGGTGCATGGGCGGACCAATGCAAGAACAGTAAAGTGCAGCTTGGATCAACCCACTTGACTCTGCCAAGTCTCTGTGCACGGATCTCTGCTTTAGGTGTGACTCCTCCCTGGTGATTGCGCGGGGAACCCTGCAGCAGCTCGAGGCGACGATGGATGTGTGCAATTTCTTTGGCTCTTTAGATTGGCCAGGAGTGGTGCTTCACAAAGCGAGCGTTCTATTTTAATTCCGCCGACAAAGCACAGGTCCGGGACAGGGTGGACTAAACTTGCGGTGCCATGTAGTGGGCGCATTGGAGGGCTTGGCTTTAGCAGGTGGAGTCTCGGAAGGAGACGGGCGCAGCTTTACAGAAAATCACGGCTCGAGCCTCAGCCATTGTCTCGGTCACGTCCCTCTGCGAACCGCTTGTGCGACAGAAGAGCGTGAGTCAGTGAGCCGGCTGACCGACTTTTCAGGAAAGCTTGGAGGATCCTCTAGACTTTCTGGAGCAGGCCGCTGGAAAGTCAAGGGCGATCTTGCTCGTTGCAGCTGACTTGTGCAAGGCTCGAGCTGCCATTGAAGAGGCCGGCTGTCATGTGCAAATCCGCACGTGCGGCCAATCATGTGTTTCTTCGATCTCTGGCAGTCTGTTGCACGGTCCGACACGTGGGACTGGTCTGAACATTTGCCGTACTGTGCAAAGGTTCGCAGCGACGCCAAAAGGTGATGCAGAGCCGCGGAGCAAGTCTTCCAGCCATGCTTCATTGTAAGCACAGAGCTGCCAAGTTTCCGTTCCATTCCTCGCAGCCGCACCTTCCGGTGACAGAGCTGTCTGGACGATCACGCCGCACTGGAAAGCCGAAGAGGCTTCGGAAAAGCAGCGTTCTGCGAGCGCAATGGCCGCTGTGTGTTGAAGTGGCGAGGCGACTCGCAGATCTCGCAGCCCGAGCTCGTAGAGGTCTTTAGAAACTTCCAGATGGGATCCGCCGGAAGCCGATGGCCCATGGCCCCGACGGCCCATGGCATGGAACGCCCATCGCCCTGGCCATGGCCTCGAAGAGATCGAAAGATCATTCCGCTGTGAACAGATGGGGTGAGGTCTGAGGTACTGAACTGACTGAAGTGATTGAGCTGGTAGCAGACGCATGATATGCTTTTTTGTCGCAGCGGATTTGGCTCGACGACAGCCTGAACCCCCGACGCTCCAGAAGCAGGTCCTCGAAGCTTTTACAGGCCCGGTGCAGCCTTCGGCTGTCGACTCAGCCTTATACCGCCTGGTAAAAGGATGCCGAACAAGGAGAAGCTGGCGAAGAAGAGCAAGTGTGCTTCCCAGTGGCTAAATTGAGCACAGTTCCGCACGGATCCCAACCTCTGGAATCTCCCCGATCTCGCATCGAGGTACTTCAACAAGCTCATCGACCTGTGCGTCAACACTCCCAATGCCCTCCTTGTAGGTGCATTGCCGAGATGGTGGCTTTTGAGGAACTCGGCTTTTGGGCCCTGTAATCCGAGGTGTGGACCATGTGGCCTCCAAGCAGATGCAGGACATTCGCATGGACCTCCGCGGCCGTGCCATCGTTCTCATGGGCGGCTTGGACTTGAACTTTTGCTTAAGACCTATAATCCATCGTGACAACATGCGAGGGACGTGTGTAGTGCAGGCAAGAACACGATGATCCGCAAAGCCCTCGAGATCGGCCATGAGCAGCACCCGGAGGTTCGGTGACAGGTTGAGAGCGGGCTGGAGTTGTCATTTTCAAGCACAGCGAGACTTTGCGCTGCCCCTCTCCCTACTCTCCCAAGCAGGCCGGCCTTGACAAGCTGCGAGCGGCAATCCAGGGAAACCGTGGCTTCATCTTCGCAACGTGCTTCGCCCTCTTTGATGCTCGTAGCCGATGCCAGCACCATGTGTCAGCCATGCTCCTCCGTTTGCACCATGAGGAACTGCACTTTGGACGACATCCGAGAATGCCTGGCAAAGCACACGCGCCAGTCAGCCGCCAAAGCTGGGCAGTCGCCTGGACTTCAGAGACCACTCGTCGCTGCTCGTCTCGCAATCGAGAAAAACCACAGAAGTCATACTGTCCCAGGACCTCCATTGTCGACTGGTTCATCCCTTCTGGACCCACCGGCATGGACCCCTCCCAGACGGCCTTCTTCCAGGTTCAGAAATTCGGAGGGTCAGGCTCTTCGAGGAGAAAGCCACTACACACCCGCCCGCCTTGTGACCAGGCTCTGAACATCGGTACGAAGATCGTGAAGGGACAGATCGAGCTGGTCTCGGATTTCAAGATCCTGGCAAATGGAGAGAAGGCGACATCATGAACTCCAGGGGCCCCCCAGGCATGAGCTGTTCCGTGCTTCTGCAGGTGTCTGCAAGTGGAGCGGTCCTGCTCGGAAAGTTGGGCATCCGACCCTTCGAGTACAAGATCGAGGCCAGTTCGAGAAACCCCAGCCATGGCATGACTCCCAATATACACGCCTCATTGCTGGCCGCTGGCCGCTTCGGCAGGTGCTGGAAGTCTTCCAGGATGCCGCGGTCTTCAGCGCCGCTGTGCTGGACATGTCCGAGCAGCAGCTGATTACAAAGTCCCTTCGTCTGCAGAGTCCCCAAGGGCCCCAAGGGCCCCAAGACGCTTTCAGCTGGGTATTGGGTGCACGCTGCCGGGGTCACTTGTTGGCTGAGTTTCAAACGTGTCGCATGCCATTCCTCACTGCAGGTCGTCGCTTGTGAGACCTGTGTCATGTAGTACAATTCAGGTTCTTGGCAGGCGTTGCAAATATGGCGGCCTTCAGCCGCGAGGCTTTTGCCTGCTTTCGTCCGTGCCAGCCTGGCTCAAGCTCTGACGTGCTAAGCCCGTTGATTGAGGTTGGCATTCCCACGGAGGCAGGCCTGCCTCATGCGTTCGGCAACGCCTTCCGTAACGTCGCCTCCCTCATTGCCGACATCGACTTCACTTTCAAGGAGGTGCGTGTCGCTTGCTGCCGCTTCGCTCTGTCGCTCCGCCATGCTCGCCATGGTGCCAGGTCGAGGAAGTGAAGCAGTTCCTGGCGGATCCCGAGGCGTACGCCGCAGCCAACCCGGTGGCCGCGGCTGGCCCTGCCACTGGCGCACCAGCAGAAGCCAAGAAGGAGGAGAAGAAGGACGGTCATGGGATTTTTCAGTGCAAACATGTTAAAACTATGTTCGACGGTGCAAGCAGCACGGACTCGATGTCGCTTCGTTCAGGCCGCGGTGGAGGAGGAAGAGGAAGAGGAGATGGCATGGCATAGAGCAAGCATGTGGCCGACTCTTACTGTGCTGCTGAGTTGCTTCCGCAGCGATTGGCTGTCAATAGAAAGACCTAGCTGTGAGGAGATGGACTTCGACCTCTTCGGCTAAACAAGTTGAAGGCCTGCAATGCTTAAGACTGTGCAGGGGGGGTAGGGGGACAACTGGCCCCGCTTTGCAGGAATCTAATGTTACCTGAGGTCGCCTCTCGTGGGTGCCAGCTGACTGGAGTTGGATATGTTTGGACAGGCTGCACGGAGAGCGAAAAGCGACCGCCGTGTCTTTGCTTCCAGGATCTTGGTGCACTGCAGCTTTTGCACCAGTCCTCTTCAGTGGGTATGTCCGGGTGCCTCCTCGACCGAGGTGCCAGCGGCTGCGGCTGAGACCCAGCCGGCTGCGATGCACGGGTTCCGGCGCACTGGCTAGATGCGGACGGAGTCAAGCAAAATTGCCAACCCTGGTGCCCATCTGTATACCATTGCATTGCGACATTCCGGCAACTCGCATGTGCCCACGCAGGCCCTCGAACTCCTGCAGAAGCGTGGTGTGAAGTCGTTCGTGCAGCAGGTGCTGATCGCCTCTCCCTGCCTTCTCTCGCCTTTCTCATGTCTGGAGGCGATACCGCAGGTCGAGGCCATCGGCCAGGCTCTCCAGGCCCTGAGTCCCTGAGTGCAGGAGGGTATCGTTTTGATCTTCGTCATGATCTGTCACACCAGGCCACGCGGAACGAAACCTACAGGGAAATCTTTACGCAGCTCTACTTGGGCTTTGAGAACTTAGCTGCTGCCTGAAATTTCGCCAGCAGTGCACCGCATCTTGACCCCATTGGGTCCGCATGCCGCACGTGGACTCAGGCTCCTTCGCCGTGGCGAGCAGCCGCCTTGCTCTGAGGGTGTCGGGCATGGGAAGTGACGGACGTCGGATGATGGTCGCTCCAAGGCGGTCGTCGGGCTCCTGCCATCTTTGGTGGCCGTGGGGTGCGGTCCCCGACCCGAAAGTAAGGCAAGGCGCAAAGCAGAGCTGCGCCTGCAGGCTGCCGCTCCTGGCCAACCGCGGGCTCATCGAGGCGAAATGGTCCGGGGTGAAGAGCGCTGCCGGATGCAGTGGATACTGCAGGTTGCTGCAGTTGCCGCCTTTTGGCTGGTCATTCGTCCGGCCTCCGCTATGCTGGAGGAGCGCTGCGATCTGCTTCGTTTTTGTTGGGACCGGTACCGTGGCCCCAGTTTTCGAGGCCTCTTGGTGGTTCCTGTCGCCAGGGCCAAAAGCCTCGGTCTCGGTGCAGACTCCTCGCGGCACTGGGGTGGCAAGTCCAAGCTTGGATCCCAGGTCTCAGCTCAGAAAATGACCTTGGGCCTGATCCCAGAGGCCATGGTGACAGCGGCCGGGCACCTCACCAGAAGTGTGCCAGCTTCCGTTCCGAAGCAGACCCCTTATCTGCACAGGCTCACTTTTACTGGTGCTGGGGGCTGTTTGAGCTCGTCGGCCGGCGGCGTCCGGCATCGCAGAGGCCCCTCACTGTTTCAAGTTTGTGAGGTCGCCCGTGCTTGCACCATCGCCCTTTGTGGTCTCTCAATTCTGTGAGAGTGACTTGCAAGGCTTCTTGCCGTCCTGTTCTTGACGGTCGTCCTGCTGCCGGTCACGCTGGCCCAGGCAGCATGGGGTCTTCGGAGTGTTCAGGCATCTTTCAGGCTGCAAGTTGGATTCGACTGTTTGCTGTTCTGCTGGCCTGATCCCAGTCTCCATCGAGCTTCTCATCATCCTCCGATTATCGTAGTCAGGAAAGCGCAGGCAGAATCAGAATAACCTAAATAAACCTCGGGGTGATGAGAGCTTCTCTGGCATCCTTCAAGACCGGCCTGAAAAGGTGTTCTTGGAGCATCTCCAGCCTCGCCAAGCTTGCATTTGTGCGCTGCTGGGTGACTCCCTAGGACTGGCCAAGAGCCGGCGGCTCCAGCGCAGGCAAGCTACGACTGCTTTTTTCGCAGGACTCCTTTTCTTCCTGGCTTTGCGCACCCCGCCGTGCTGGCGGATCATCAGTGCTGCGACCTCAGCAGACCGAGGGTCCAGCAAGCCATGGATCAATCAGGTGCTCAAAAGATGTGACTACCCAGGAAAAGCCGAGAAACGTCTTGACTGCACAAAACCAGCTCTGCCGAATTGAGGCCATGCCAAAAGACCAAGCTTACATGTGGAGCAAGGCGGCGTGGGGAGGTTGAGGGGGGCAGTGGGTCCCCTTCAAGCCTTTAAGCGTGCCTCTGTGAGGGAGTCCTTTGGTTACAGAGAAAGGCGCACCCATAACAAGTCGTTTCTAACACTTGGCCTGCCGATCATCATATCCGCAAACTCCGTGCAACCTTGGATAACTATGGCAACCAGCTGTATTCCTACAGATGCTGGATCAGTTATGAACAGTCCGAAGCATTTCCCCAGAAGCCCAACGCGAATCTGAAATCCAAGTTGTTCATAGTGGACGTCCGTGTCTGTGTCTGCATGTCTGTATGTAAGGTGGTATGTAGGTAGGTTGGTAGGTACGGAGATAGGTAGGTAGGTACGCATGACATGTATGTCTGCATGTGTGTCTGCATGTATGCGTTTGTGCGTACGTACGTACGTACGCACGCGCGTATGCTAGACTTTCTGTATTTGTAGCTGTACTGTAAACATGTTGATGCAGGTCATGCATGTATACGATTGTAGATGCACGTCTGTAACTAGCGCTGTATGTATGTTTGCATGTGTGTATGTATGCATGCATGCATGAAAGCGTGTATGTATGTATGTATGTATGTATGTATGTCGTACGTGTTCATGTGCGTACGTATGTTTGTCTTGTCTTGTGTTCTCCTGTCTTGTCGTGTCGTGTCTTGTCTTGTCTTGTCTGTTATGTACGCATGCATGCGGCCATGTCTGTCTGTCTGTCTGTTTGTCCTGTCCGGTCTGTCTGCTTGCATGCAGGTACATTACATTGTGTGCTATGTCCGCAGTCTCTCTTGTGCAGTCACAAGAACGCCAAATAAGACTTGTCCCAGCACATGCACTGTTCGATTCTCGGAAGCCTCGCTTACAGCTGAAGTCTTTTGGCAGGTCCCCACGTTTCAATTACATGACAACCTCAGCACTTTCTGGGGTGGCTGTGTCTGGTGCGCTCCTAAACTGCTGTGCAATGCAAGTTCCCATCCGTTCTGGAAGCATCCACGGCTTTGGCTTAGTCTGGGATTGATGCTGTTGTCGCTGCGCTGCACGTCCGCCCGCGCCGACTCGAAGCTCTCGAGGAACTAGAGATTTGCATGGCTTCTCAAATAACGAAAGCCCGCAGGAAGTTGCACTGGGATTTAGAGCCGGGCTTCACGTGTCCCGCGAGTGTGAAGAAAGTCGCCTTCTGGCCCTGCTTGAAGCTTCGCGCGGATGACTTTGGAGTCAGAGCAGCCAGGGCCCTGTTTTTTCTCGTGGCTTTTGAGATCAAGCTCTCTGCACCGCAGCAACCAACTTCCCAGGACCACATGCACGTCTCTACCTCTTGCACTGAGGTTTTGCTTTGCTGGGGGTGTAGAGAGGAGGCTTCAGTTAGAATCATTGATGCCGGCATCTCAAAATACAGTTATGATGCAGGCAAGCTTCAGCTCACTTCAGCCCTGGAAAGTCCTTTGTAAGCTTGTGTCTATGTGCATGTATGTATACAGGTGTACCTGACATAGGTGACGCCACCTGAGTGAATTTCTGCAGTAAGCAGGGCGGCAAAAACCGCGAGAACAATAACAATAGAACCACAATTACAACGAACAAGCAAGCAACTAACCAGCAACATCTGCAAAGCCAGAAGCAACAAAAGAAGCGAGAGGCAACAACAAAGAGCGAAGGGCGCTCAGAGCGTTCTTCTGCCTCCCAGGCCGCAGTGCGTGCTTTCGCCGGCCGCCGGGGTTCCAGTTGCCGTCTGCCTTGTTCCTTGGGGTAAACCGCGCAGTGGAGGAATTCAGCCTGGGGTTCAGTTCCTCGGAAGCCCCGAAGCTTCGAATCCCAGGTGGCCGTGGAGCCAGAGTCCGAGAAGTTTGTGCGCTCCTGAGAAAGGGGTTCCGCGAACGTGCCACGCGTGTCCGAGAAGCGTCGCACTTGCACTGCGGTGCTGTTTTCGATTGCGAGGCCCTGTCGCCGACTGCGGACTTGGGAGAGCTCCGGGAGTGCGGCTCTCGGATTTCCAAAACTTGCTGTGGCTGACCTCCCTCCGTCCAGGTTTGTGAGATGCGAATCCTTGGAGCGTATGCAACTCTGCATGCGCTTGCAGAAACAGCAGGACAGATGAAATGTTTTTTTTGACATGCTGGAAGCTCGGAGCACTGTCAGCTGCCGGCTGCCAGGAGATGTTGGAGCAGCTAACAGATGGTGTCGTGCAGCTGCCCGAGACAGCGGCCGGATTTCCCGTTTGGACTCTCCATGCTCCTCTATGGAGACTGAGGCCAGTGTGCTCAGTGAAGAGTGACGCAGCGGGCCCAGTTCGACAGCCCGGAAGCTGCTGTCTCGGCCCGCAGCAGCCTCCAAGTCCCAAGGAACAAGAACTCAAGCGCAAGCTGCAAGCTGTTTGAGTTTTTGGTTAAGGGACGGTTTTTCAAGTGCTTGTTAGTTCGTGTTGCGCGCGAAAGTAGGTTTGTAAATGCAACCAGGGGGACACATTCCGTTTTGATGGTGCTTGTCTTATGGAGAAACAGGTTTTGTTATACCTGCCTTGTCACCCGGCGGGGTTTGGATATTGGCAAGCATCTTCACGTTTTGCAGTGCATGCCATGGGCGGATTGCCTATCCAACTCTGGCCCCAGGTTGCTCCGGGTATTGGTTCCATGAAGCTTTCGGATGACCTGATCGTCTCCGAGGGCACGAAGCCTTAGTGTGTTCATGTGGCACGGTGCTCCAGGTTAGTGCAGGTTTGCAAGATGCTTTCTGCAGGTATTCGCAGGATCTCTCGCTAGTGCTTAATGTTCTCAGGTCCGTGGCTCAAGCAAGTGGCGGCAGAGGCAAACGATGCGTTTACACCGTTGACATCCCAGCGGCTGTGCAGCATGGCCCAACAGGTTGATGCGTTGAAGCTCTCGATGCAGAACCTCACTCAAGACGTGAAAGAGCTGCAGGACAGAGGGGGGAAAGGAACGTCAGCTTCATGACATAAGCAGCGACGGCCTGTCCACGCCAGGAATGCCTCGACACCAGGCCTCCCGGCGACAGCTGACACAGTCCAGGTCCAGACCAAAAGAAGAGCTTCAAACGAATCCCTGCAGGCCCCGCACGGGCAGTCTCGTGCCTGGTTCCAAGGTTTTTTTCACGTGGACTGTGCAGAGTTGTTTCAATACCAGTGGGCCCGAATGGCACGAGACCTTTGCTTTGACTGTCTCGAGGCTGAAATCCGGTGGTTGCCAGGCAGACCGGCTTCTCTGCTCTCCCTCGCTTATCGAATCCTTTGGAATCCTTTGGATTTCTTGCTGCTCTGTCTGCTGCAGGCTGTGGATGAGTTTGTGGATGATGCTCGCTTCGCACACGGCTCAGCGCAGCTCACGGGTTGAGCCCGGGACGTCTGCTGTCGCACACGCAGGCGCAGTGCGACGTGGAAGGCTCTCCATGCTACAAGGCGGGCAGTGCATGGCAGGGCCACGGGCCGGCAGGCAGCGAGGTTTCGGGTTCTTTTTCTGAGGCGGGCAGCGAGGGAGAGTCCTTCGGTGCTCGGGCCTCGATGTCGGAAAGAGGTTCTTTGGAACACGACGCACATAAAGCGGACTTCCCGAGGGTGGCCTCAACTTCGAGCCGGCCTTGGACCTGCAATGGCTCGAGGAGCGCTTCGAGGCCCGAGAGAGTGCCCTCACGGAGCGGACGTAGCGGACGTAGCAAAGAGGGTGGGGAAGTCGGTCGGCCATCTTGCGCCAGGACGTTCAGCAGCAGTGCGCTGCCGACCTCACCAGCGTGGAACAGCGGCTTCTTGATGAGTTCACCAGCTTGAAGGCCAGCGTTTTGCCAAAGCATCTGCATCACTCGTGTCTGTCCTATCGCGTTGTCGACAGCTGACAGGGCTTCGTGGATGTCCGTGGCTGAGCCTCTCATTCTCTCTAGGGCCTAGGGCCAGAGCTGGGCATCCCGGTCAGCCGTGAGGCTTCAGGTGGAAACATAACTTGCAAGCAGGGGAGGATTCAAAGCACGCTGACAACTCGTCAACCAGAAAGCAGACGAGTATCCAATCCACGTGCCCTTGGCTTTGCTGTACCAACACGAAAGGGAAAGGAGGAAGTGTCTATTCGAGGAACTTTCGCTCAGCTTTCACCGAATTTGCCCAGGCCGCAATCGTGGCCATGGTCAGCCGCATGAGCACTCTCGAGCGGCTGGGCCATGTTTACAGGCAGTGCAGGTTGCATACTGTCAGCCTGGCGTTTGAATTGCGCTTCGTACAGCTGGTTGCTGAAGGGACGAGGTTCTGTGCAGAGTTTGGTGCAGACCATGCTCCCTAAAACCTCTGGATTCGCTGCTTCCCCACACTATGGTGCTCCAGTTGGGGTGACCTTTGAATGTCTGATCATGACCAGGTCTTAGACTTGCAATGGTTCACACCTGACTGCGAGAGACATATACATCCGCAGTTGGATGGTCGGCTGATCTTGTTGAGCGCTGAAGACTGTCAGGCGTCTTCAACTCTGGATAACCCTTGCACCAGCAACCGTTGGAGTCCTCCTTCAACTGTCTGGCTTAGTCCGGGATGGTTTCTAAGAGACCTGCCAGGATCTTCGTCAAGGGCGAGCGTGGCCTTTCTGAGAAGATGGACGAGGGCTTCAAGAAGGCCCTGTGGCAACTCCGGACTGATAGACATTTTCAGAATTTTTCAGAGTTTCACCGATTGAGGCTGCTGATAGTTGAGGGTTACTTCGTAGTTTTCATGGCGCAGCCTAGTCATGATCCGTGTTTATGGAGTGCGACTCTGGCACCGGGCATAGCGGGAACAGAAGCAGTCGTCGTGTGGCAGGTGGCCGACGACATCGCCAACAGTACTCAGAGGCAACTTTTCTTCAGTTCTTTTACTTGGCTTGATCGTAAGCGCACATGTTTCTGAAGGCGTGGTAGTAGCACACGGACCGCCGTTAAACCGAACCAGAAAGCGTGCGCGTTTGGAAGGAGGGTGGGGTCTGTGCAGGTTGCAGGGATGCCAAGACGAAGTCTCCGAGCTGACGGACAGGCGCAGTGTGCTATGTGAAAGTTTAGCCGGCACTCCATCATTCTGAGAGAAGTTCTCATTTCATTCGCAGGCTTAAAGCCGTGGAGAAGCGCAGGGAGCTTGTTCACTCATGACAGCACGCGCATTGCTTGAGGGGTCTGTGAGAGCCAACGAAAAGGTTTGGAACGCCCGAGTGGCCAGCTGGTGGGCTACAGCTCCCGCCCCGGCTCTCTCAGCCACGGCCGGCTCTTTCTACAGTAGTGAGACGAGCGGCGAGCGTGTGCCCCAGCAAGGTCCTGCCCCTGGATATCGCAGTCCGGCGGATCTGAGACGACCCTTGTCGCAACAAGGGCTCAGGGTCGAAGGGTTTCAAGTCCGTCTGCCAATCCCGACCCTGCAAGATGTCTTTGAGGAAGCGGAGAAAGCAACGACTCGGCAGGGAGCCCATTTCTGGGGCTCATGGTTTCGACTTTAGCGTTCGTGCACTGGAGATCGCCAGGTCTTCCTTCAGTTGGAGAGCGGGCAAGGGTGTGTCAATGTCGGAACAGAGCTGGGCGGGTGGCCACCGAGGTGAAGACCTCCGCCATTCCGGAGAAAAGTCCTGCTCCGGAGGTGGTGCCTCGACCCTGCAGAGCAGAAGGGAGGAAGCTTCAGTGATTCAAGGGCCAAGGATCAGCTCGTCACCCTACCAGTAAAGGCAGTCCCGGGTTCTTGCAGAGTTTTATGGGATCCAGGTCTTGGCCTCGCCACCACGAGTTCTGTCCCACGCAGGCTCGGTTGCATCTCCTGAAGCCTTCAGCAAAGTGCCAAACCGGGAGCAAACCCGGGATGGATACGGTCCCGCAGCCTATGGCTCCGGGAAAGAGATGCTCAAGTCCTTAAACAATGCACGTGAGAAGGTAGTTCGGGATGTTGTCAGTTCAGCCGGCGATGCGCTGCCTCTGAAAAACTCCCTGAAAAGAAGAGACATAGTGGCACAGCTTAGATAATGGAGTCGGCGGCTCTTTCGGGCACTGCCGGCAACAGAGCCATGACGTGCCAGACAGCTGCGGGGTCAGCAGTTGCGGCAGCGGGGAAGGTGAATGTAGGGTGTATTCGCCAGAATACCCGCGGCAGCATTCACTCCAAAGGGGGGTTCCTTCCAGGGCAGAAAGCCACTCGGGGGTCGAGGGCAGAAAGGGCCCGGGCCCTTTGGGTAGTCGGGTCGCTCCTGGCTTGGAGATGTGGGATACGTCTACGTCCCAATGGGGGGAAGAGGAAGGGCAGGAGGGGGCTCACTGCTCGGGTCATGAACGAACAGCAGCGAGCGGCTGCCGAGGCACCAGGAGGCGCGCACCTGGTCATCGCCGGGGCCGGCACCGGAAAGACGAAGACGCTGACGGAGAGACTGGCATATCTCGTGGGTACGGAGAAAGTAAACCCCCAACAGATCGTTCTCCTGACTTTCACCAGACGAGCAGCGGAAGAGATGAAATCCAGAGCAGAGTCGTTGGTGGGAAATCAGATTCGGGGCGTGCGGTCTGGTACGTTCCACTCCTTCAGCCTCAAATTGCTGAAGAAGTACCGAGCTCGAATGGGATTTCTGTCCGGTTTTTCTGTGCTTGATGCAGCAGATACGGAAGCCATGATCGCACAGACGCGCAAAAGGCTAGGCTTAGCCGGGCGAAAGCAGAACTTTCCGTCCGTGAGCAAACTCGTGAGCCTTTTCTCCTACAGCGTGAACACCGGTGTTCCCTTGGAGGAGCTGCTCCGTGGCGACCTGCGGCCCTTCGAGGAAGCAATCCTCGAAGTCAGGAAGGCCTTCGAGGAGGAGAAGCAGCGCCAGAGCTGTTTGGACTTCGACGATCTTCTTTTCAAGTGCCAGCGACTTCTCGAAGAGGATGAGACGGTGCTAAACGAAGAAGCCGGACGCTGCGAGCATGTCCTCGTGGACGAGTACCAGGACACGAACCACCTCCAGGCTTCCATCGTGAAGCAGCTGAGCTCCGTGCACGGAAATGTCCTGGCGGTGGGGGACGATGCGCAAAGTATCTACGGCTTCCGGGGAGCTTCAGTTGAGAACATCTGGAACTTCCCAAACATGTACTCGTCCTGCTCGCAATACATCCTTGAAGACAACTACCGCAGCACGCAGCAGATTCTGGACCTAGCGAATGCTGTCCTCAGCGTGTCGAACAAGCACTGCCGCAGCTTGGTCGCATTTGCTTTTCTGGCGTTGAAGAGCCCATATAGTAGACACCCCACCAAACGCCGCCAGCTTTAACTTATCAATTCTTCCAATTTGGTCAAGGCAAAGCTCTGCGCTCAAACATCGCTCCGGGTCCGTTGCCGCAGATGCTGCACTTTGGCGACGCTCTTTGTGAGGCATGCTGGGCTCCTCGGACTTAGCGCTTATCGCAGCAACGGCCACACATTGCGATGGGCTCAGGACCCGTGACCGATGACCCTAACGCAGTATCTGAGGTCGCAGACGAGATTAAAGAGCTTCTGAAGCAGGACGTAGCTCCCGAGCACCGTGGCAGCTAATAAGGCGGTTTTCATTCGAGCTAGCAGAAGCAGCATACCGTAAGACCTACAGCCTAGCTTTGCTGACTGAATTTTCCCATGCCAAGGAACATAGCTGTGCTATATCGCAAGAACAGGACGTCAACCAAACTGGCTCTTGAAATGCTGCGACGCGGTCTTGACTATCGTGTATATGGTGGCCAGAAGCTAACATCCCGAGCGCACTTCAAGGATTTTATGGCTGCCCTTTTCGTCGCACTCAATCCGCTGCATGAGACCTATTGGAAAAGACTACTCTGCCTGTTCACAGGTGTTGGTGAAATTACTGCGCGAAAGGTGGTCAACCAAGTGAAATCGCAGGATCCCCCGCAGCTTGATGCAGAGATTTGGGCAGGCAAGAAGTTTTACCCGGACCTCCGCAAGCTACAGCATCTGCTTTCCTTGCTAAGCAAAACATCCGATCCAAGAACCTGTGTCAGACGTGCACGGACATGGTATGGGCACTACTTGGTTGAGATGTACGACAACTTCAAGGAGAGAATGCAGGATTTAGAGATGTTGGAGGAGTATGCGGCCTCCTACGACTCCCTTGAGGACATGGCTAACTCATTCCAGCTGGACGACAGCGTCCTCGAGAAGGGCAGGGCAAGGAACAGGAGCGGAGACACACTGACGCTCTCCTCCGTGCACAGTGCCAAGGGCTTGGAGTGGGACGTAGTTTTCGTCATTGGTATGGACCCAATCAGCTTTTGCTCGGAACAAGGAGGAGATGCTCGTCGAGTTCTGTATGTGTCTATAACGCGAGCCAAGAAGAATTTGTACCTGACGGTCCCCGGCGAAAAAGCCACATCTTTGCTGGCAGATGTCCCAGACTTGGACGAGCTTGTGGAGAGTGAAGTCAAGCCGCGATCGCCACGGTCGCAAACGTACCGCAGCGTCGGGAACTGGCCGAGGGTGGCGTCAGAAGAACGCCGAAGCGTGAGCCGCCGACCGAGCGTCACCGCGCTGGCCGCAAGCAAGTAGGCTGAGTGGCAGAAAAAGGCAGACGGGGACGTGGGAAAGTGATTCTGTCGACAGACAGGACCGCACTCTGCCTTCCGTTAGCCAGGTCCCGTTGGTACTCCCATGACTCAGCTCTTGGCTCCTGGGCGCGGGCACAGCATGCAGGCGCGCCGCTTAGAGGGGCCGTGGGGGCAGGGCTAAGCCGCTAAGCCGCTAAGCCAAGCCTCGCCTCAGCCGAGCACTGCAGGTGCCTCCGGGAGCCGCTCCCGCGGGGTGGATGCCCGCGTCGCCCCTGCCGCAAGTCTTTCGACCTCTTCCCGGAGGCAAAGGAATCAGAATCAGACCTGACTCTGCCTTCAAAAGTGCTTTCAGAGGTGTGCTTCTTGTCTCGGAGGCAGCTCGTCTCCTCAGCTGGTTGCCTCGGCCCTGATCCTGGAACCTCCGAAGAATCTGTCAGTGCAGGAGTCATCCTGCAGGAGTTTGGATCGTTCCCATACTTTCTTAGCCTCCAAAAAAAGGTTTTGTTTGCACTGGCAGACAATTGTGGCCGCGCAGCGACTAACATCAGAACGCGGTGGGCTCGTTTTGGACGAGGGCTAGAGTACCGCCTCTGGAACCCAAACCTTGCACTAGAAAGCCTGAAAGCTACACCCTATCAACTCCAAAACTAGCCTCATATCTCAAGCTCCAGACGGAAAAGCCTGCAGCGGAAACCTCTGAATCCTAAACTTGAAATCAGAACCTCTTCTCTAGGTCCTGGCCACACCACGCCGTGAGAACTCCGCCAGTCCCTGGCGACAGCGGCCGAGTGAGGCATGAGCTACATAACGAAGTGGCGATGAGGGCACTGCGCGCTACAACGACATGTTACCATGTGCTCAGACAATCTAGTTCATCTAGTGTTAACTCCGATTAGCTGCGTAGCTCTTATTGCGCAAAACGAGCTAAAATTTGCAGAATCTACGGCAATGCGGCATAGTACAGTACGAAACGACAATACACGGTAGTAGAGTACAGCACAACAGTTGTTTCTACGTGGCATGCATGCGTACATGCATGCATACATACAGACACAAAATATTTACAACATCCCGCTCGCTCCAACCCACTCTTCTTTGGCTACGCTCGGAAGAGCATACGCATGCATAGTTTTGTATTGATGTAATTTTACGACTTATCCGTTATGCACGTCGAGAGCGCTGCTTGGCAGGTTTTCGCAGCCCGGCCATCAGGCCTGCTTCAACTTCGGATGGGCAGGGGATCCAGAGCTTTCGGATTGAAGCGTCATGTCCTGTCGGCATGTCGGGGAAGCCTTTTGGCTCCTTGCTGTGGGATTCGTCGCGGCAGTCTTTGCTGGAGCTTGGAGTTTCCTCACAAGGTATCCCGAGCCATATCATCACGCCACGTGCGGCTTTCGGTACCCACATTGTGCCTGCAGCCGGGCCCTGAAAGTCGTGCAGCCTTTGCACTCGTGCTCATGCACCATGTTAAACATAAGCTTGTGCTGAGGTCCATATTGCGAGCTAGCGGTGGGCTTTGCCAATGTGCATGCACCCAGAGTGGAGGAGGCACACCAGTGAAATGTGCCTGTAGTTACCCAGCCGGGTGCATCGCAAGCCCGCCTCGTAGAGAAAATCGAAGAACGCGCCCGGAATAGACTCCCTGCCTCGGCAACTCGGCAAGCTTGTAAAGCTTAGGACGAGGGCGGTGGCTTTAGGCAGGGGGTCTCAGAGGAGCGTCCAGCGCAGCGTATAGCTGGTGGCTCTTGAACTGGGGGACCTCGGAAGAGAAGGGTCCCTTTCTGAAGCTCTTTCCACTTTTACAGCTGCAGTGGCCGTACAAGGCTGCTCGGCATCTCGGCATGGCACAGTACGTGCCTTGGGCTTTCGAGGCGTGTACGAAGTAGACTATGTTGTATACTATGTACTTCCTCTGTCAGAAGCTATATCACGTTGCCAGTTGCACATGCCCTTCTGCCACAGTGCAGTCAGGTTGGTGAAGAAGGTGCAACCGCTCCTGAAAGTCAGACTAGAAGTGAAGGTCGCTTCCAGCATCCAACCTGCATGACAATAGCAAATGGTTCTGAATCTGGAACCAAGACTCAGCGCGACCTAGTTCTCACCTCTCTGCAGGTCGGATGAAGGCTTGCAACAAATAGACTTTGTCTCAACGTCGTTGGTGGCCCCAGGCACTCTGGACCACAGGCCCATGCTCTCCTACGCCGCTAAAAGGCTCAAGGCTGGCAGTCGCGTACGGTGTCGAAGTCAAGAGACAAAGTTTGGCTGATGGCGCCCCCACTCGCCGTCACGCTCCCTGGCAGAAAAGAGCTTCCGAAGCGTGGACGCCACAGAGCTTGCAACAGCTTGGAAACCGAAAGGCCCTCCGACTTTATGGAGATGTGTGCGGAGTGCGAGGAAGGACAGCCACACGAGCCTTTCTGACCTGTCGCTTTCGTACGTCATTCGTTTGTAGCACATGGCATCCTTCCGAAGAGGGAAGGCATTCAGAGCCCCGGACAGATCAATAAGCTGAAGTGCAAAATTATTTGAGGGCCACAAATTTGAAAGCGCAGAAGAACTAAATCTCCAACTACGTTCCGGCTTCGGGAGGGCATCCGCAACGACTCCGCCAGCTGCTGGAGCTCGGGGAGCAGCGGGAGCGCGTTGCAGACGAGCTCCGGCGGCACGGCTTGACTTTGGGGAAGTAGCGTGTGCCTTGCACGTTACCTCCGTTTTGCTGTTTGTTCTTATATATTATATATCCATAACCGGAACCTGCTTAGCTGAATAGCTGAAGCAGCCAGGATTGAGGGAGCTTCTCTTGTGGCCGCAGCTGTGGCTCTGACAGCCCCTGCTGCTTTGGGGGAAGTGCTGCGCGCCTGCAGGCCTTGTGTTGCTTGGGTTCGAGCTGTTCAGCCCACCGCGAGGGATTCTTCTTGTCATTCCCTCCCTCATTTTCCTTCACAAAGTTCACACTCTGACTGTCTCCCTGGCACCGGGAGGCCTCAGGCTTGTTCGGAGCTGGACGTCCAGGGCCGAGCACCGCTGCACGCAGCCGCGGAGCTCGGCTGCAGCGGCTGCGTCGCCGCGCTGTGTCTGGGACTGACAGTTCGTTGCGAACTCTGGCCGATCTCAGAATCTCGCAAGTCTCGTTCAGATAAACAGTGCAGTCGACGCAGCTGAGGCTGTCGGCACGAGCGGACTGCCTCCAGCAGACTGAGGATGCGAGCTATCAGCTCGGTCAAACGCCGCGAGCTCAAGGGAGCACAGCCCCGAAAGTACGTCTTCCGAAGTTTTCACTGCCAGGACCACGGTCTACAGCGAGGCTCATCAGTGAAGGCTGATCTACTGGGAACCCGATCCTCGTAAGCTGCAGGGTGGGCAGACGGCACTGCACATCGCCGCATGTGCTGGCAGAGAGGAAGTCGTCGAGAAGCTGCTTCAGGAAGGCGAGGCGTTCTACCAAAAATCGTTTTCTAAACTCCCCACATCCTCCCGCGTTTAGACAGGTGGGCCAAATATCTGCAAGCAGCCAGACAGCTTTGGCTTGCGGGCCTGTGACTTGGCAGAGGAGCTGAGAAATGTCGGAAAAGTGCCTCTGCATAGCTGCATAGCATAACCAGCCCGTGGCTGTCTCGAGGAGCAAGTCGTCCTGGCGGTGCCCACAAATCGCTCCCAGCGCCGTCGTGTGCTTCAACGCCTAGGAGGCCCGAGGCCTGGAGGGGATTTTCGCCGATTTCTGGGTGGCGTCTGTGCCACCAGGCCAGGTCGGGCCTGCACTGAGCCTCACCGGTGCAGAAGCTTGCGGCTGAGCCACACGCTGGAGGTTTGTGCATCTTGTGAGTTTCGCCAGTCCCTGTCGCGGAAGCTTCTTAGGTGCTCCGACGTCGCAAAGAGCGCTTCGCAGCACTGCGGCGTCGCATCAGCGAGAAGCAGGTGCTGTGAGCTGCGGGAGTGCTGTGGCCAGCCTACTGTGGAAGTGCACTCGAGGTCTCAAGCTGCTGCCGCCAGGACGTCGCTATCCGCCAGGTACTGACCAAGAACGTACTGGTAGTATGCTGATGGATGCTGTAGACTTGAAGCATAGCTTGCAGCGCGTGATAGTCACCGTCCAACTTTGTTTAGTTTTTGGCATGTCCAACTTCACAGCCACCTTGTGCAGGCTGTGATCGACAGATATTCTGCGGTGGATGTGGCAGTGGCATTTGGACAGCTTCAGAATTCGGCAGGCAAGGACATTGTCAAATGGCAGCTTGGCAGAACATGCCCGCCATTTGCGCTGTTGTCGGTGATGTCGAACATAACGCATATCGCAGCAGTGGCATAGTGCCGGAGCTGTGGATTGGAGGTCGGAGACGTGCCTGAAACAACCATGATACCACTAATGCAAGCCAGCGCTATGGCTATAGCTCATCCGTTCACTGTTAAGGCATTTTCAGGCAGCACAAATGTTTAAAAGTCGAAGAAGATCGAAGAAGTAATTGAAAGCGGGCAAAGCTGGTTTTCCATTTTCAACGACCACTTTTGCCTCAACTGCTCGTTCAGCTTCACCCATCTTCATGCAGCCCTCTTACAAGAGACTCAAGGAATGCACTGGGCTCTCCCAGCGCTCACGAACAACGCACACCAACCGCGGACTATTAGGAGAAGGTCCTGATTGGCCACTGGCATATGAATGAATGCGTGGATCACCACTACAAAGATCCTCCACCGTTCGCGGTTCGTGTGCTGCCATTCAGCTAGGGACGGGTTTCTGCAGACGGGTTTCCCTTCAAGGGCTTGTGTGTTACATAACCTGTAGTGGATTCTAATGTCTTTCCCGATGCTGGACCGAGGTCGACCCATGAAGGGCCGCAGGAGACCTCATTTCAGAGGCACGTTGCTGTCATCACGAAGCTGAAAGGTTCAATGCTACCATCGTCTCTAGCCGCCCCTTCATGCATTGCAGGATCCCAGCAGTCACTGGGTCCCGGCTCACCGGCATGGAGGACCTGGTCGATGCATTCGGTCAGTGCAACCCAGCATCGGTGCAAACGGGAGAGTAGAAGCATTGTAAGTACCGAGTTGCGGATATGCAATGACATAAGGGCTCTGCCGCCATCTCTGTTGAGGCTCGCACAGCTCTGTGGCAAAGGGAGAATGGTAGAACTAGCTTCATGCAGCTTTATGCATCTTATTAGCCGTAGTTCTTCATATATATATCACACCAACAGCGAAACTGCTAACAGCATCTCGTGGACTCCCCCTTGGACTTCAGAGCTTCACGTGGCGCGCTCGACAATGCACGGAGTTGAGGGGCATGGATGCGTTTGAATCGACCCTTCCTTCTCAGGTGTCCCAACCGACCATGGCGACCATGAAGGAAGAGAGGCTTTAGTGCAGCCTGTGCGTCCCCTTCTGCATGCCCAGCATTCATTCGTGGGTGCGAGGGCCGAACGCCGCCTGGAGAAAGTCATGTTCGACGACATTGGTCTTCCCGATGACTCGGATTGCCTTCTGGAAGCCTTCGAAGGCACCTGAGCGCCGTGGCCTCGCTTGTGCTTTGATGTCTCAAAGACGAAGATGTCCAGGCAACGACAGGACTGCCAATATCCTGCGACATCGCTACCAAAAGAAGGGCCTGGGCCCGCTCCCCAGAGTTTGACGAATCTGCTTCGTTTCGTGCTCCGAGCGCAACATCGCCGCAGGCAAGGCTCTCTCTTCTCCGGCGCCAGTGCCTGCGCCCGCCCCCGTGCCCTTCAAGCCCGTTGAAACCGCACCGCTGAAGCCGCTGCTGCCGTCCATTGTCTCCAACTCGAACAAGACGGAGAGGCCCAGCTGGGCTGACATGTCTGGTTCCCAGGCTTTTTTGTGCCTGCTGCTTCATGAGCTGCGTTTCGGCTTGGTTCAGCCTCGACCGAGGTCTACAGACAGTGAGGATGAGGACGGAGTTGTGCGTCAACGGTCAAAGCATGCCAATGTCGTGTTGTATGCTCAGGCATGAAAAGCAATCCAATTTCAAATTGGGAGGCTTGGAGCCGGTAGGCTGAAACCAGCACACTGGATCTCGAGTGCCGTCGTCGCATGACTCCGACACTTTGCTGCCCTTTGTGGGCACAAGAAGAAGCTCCCGATCCCGAAATGACCGCTGGAGTCGTTTGCAAAGCAGGGTCCCCGACCAAAGCCGCCAATCCGACATAGATCGCCGCTCCGATTGTGTTTGGAAGGACCTGAGCAGCTCCCAGAGCCTGTGCTCCTCATATGCAGCGAGATCAAGTCGTCTGATAGATTCCTTCCTTAGCCCTAGACGTTGGGTTTTCTGCTTCAGTGGCAGGGTGTTGCAAGTTGCATTTTCCGAATCAGCGACGGGCGTCCCTCCCTCTTCAAACAGACGGTTGCACGAAGTTGCTCGATTTCCGCGGTTGCTCCGTGTGCGGTTCTTGCTGGCTAAAGGGGAGCCCTTGGCGGGGAGCCTTTGGCATCGTGTGAACCTCTTCATGCTTGTCTGGTGTCGCTTGCGGTAAAGCCGCTAGGCACCGGTGTGGCGGGAGAGAGCTGGTCCTCGCGGGCATCCGCTCCAGCAGAAGCGAGCATCACGGCAGCAGAAGACCTCCCCTTGCTGGTACCACTGATGCTGTGCCTGCTCTTTGTCTTCTGCCAGTTGCACCGCACCGTTCGAGCCTGTTTTGATGATCCCCCCAGATTTCAATTTCGGTGTTATTACAACCTTCAGCCCCTTCATGACACGAGTCTCGAGTCTCTGTCGGGCCCTTTTGGTGAAGCAGAAAGGCCCACTGCAGAAATCGCACCCGACCCGACAATCCCTGAGCGCAATACTCGAAGCAAACGAGCTTTGAGTCTTTGAGTTCCTACGTCCCCCAGGTCCTGAAGCCTGGATCCGAGGCCCTGCTCCCAGTGGAGGCCTCCCATGGAACCCGCTCGACTTGGAGTCTTTCGAGACGAAGGAGGCCTGGCTGGGCAGCTTCCGAGACCGGGAAGAAAAGAGCAGTCTTCGACGAACCCCGCAAAGTGACAATAAGGTGGGAACAGGGGCGGGTAGAGCCCAGAGCAAGGGACGCGCTTTGCAAATTGAGAAACCCCCATTTAATCGTACTTGTCTAGGGACAGATGTAGAGCGCGTGCTTTTGACAGCCGAGTCCTCATGCAGCCACCTTTCACTCTGCAACGTCAGGAGCAGGCCTTGGACACCGACCGTTCCACTGGCCGCTCGGCAATGTTTCGGGACTTGGGCAACGTAGGAAGCAACAGCTCAAATGTCAGCACGACATGAAAGTGACATGGTGAGGTGACAGCTTCTCGTGGGCCAAGGCAGGCATGTTACCTGTTTTGTCTCCTTGTCTTCATAATGAAAATGACAGGTGTGGGAGAAGATGAACTCGGGGAAGTCGGAGTGTTCAAGCCCTGTATCGTCCATTTCTGCACAGGTGGGGGTAAGGTGAGTGATGCACCTCGCTTGAGTATCCTGGACACGCCAAGCCCCCCCTTCCTCCTGCACTGATCAGGAGATGGCTGTTGGATATCAACCGCAACCGCAGCAGATGATGATCGTGCAGCCGGCAGAGACCAGGGGTCCAGGACATTGGCCATGACCAAACTCGGCCGTGATGTCTGAGACTCTTGTCGACAGGACTCCCTGTGAATGGCCTTGTCCAACCAATGGCACAGCCCTCCCTGATGGGTGCCCCAGCTTTACGCGTCGGCCACGATGTTGGCTTCATGTGCGTAACTTCGGAGCTTCTTTTGCCATACCATCGCAGCTGCTGCCTTACCACACACACGCCGCCGGGAATTGCTGTAAGTGAGAAGCCCAGGTGGGCAGGTGCAGATTGTCCAGCCGGTACAGCCGGTACAGCCAGTTCAGCCACTGCAGCCGATGGTGATGATGATCCCTGCGACGACTGTGCAGTTTTCTCAGGCCGCGAACGTCGAAACCCGGCAGTTGATGCTGTCCTGATGCGGTATGCGGTGCCTGGGACCAGGGTTACTACAACACGCCCGAGATCTGTCAGCCTGCTCACGCTTTCCATCCCAAAGCTGCTCAGCTTGGGCACCTCTCTTCCGAACCTTGCCAAGCATCGAGCTGCAGGGGACAAGCAGAAGCCAGGAGCACGATCCAAGCTGCCGGGGGTTCCCATTATTATGAGATCTCAGGAATGCAGAACCTTTACGAAGACCAAGAGCAAGGGCCGCCTGTCCATCGTCTCCGAGAACAGACGCCCGGCTGAAGAAACTCTCAAAGACCTTCTCATAGCTTTCGAGCGTTCCCAGTTGGCTCAGCGCCGTACAGCCCTCTACGTTACATATATAAATTTTGTTGTAATTGTATTATGTAGTAAGCATGTTCAGGGCTGCACCAGTCGGGAGTGGAGCGCTACTGTCTGCGCTTCACCGACGGCGAGCTCAGCAACGCTGACGGCGTGGGCATCGTCTTCTCCTCGCAGCTGCCCTGCCCGCAGAACATTCAGTGCCTTGGTCCTCCAACTGGCAGAGCGGCTTTGCATGTGCTTCGTGGCTGGACCAAGACAGCACACTGACAGTGGCTGAGGAAGATTGTTTCCGTCTTCGCCAACAGGACGGGTCGCATCTGCATGCGCGTCTCAGCTTGCAAGCAGGACATCTGTGGGAGTATGTGGATGCGAGTGGCCGAAGCGACTGAGGAGCGGATGCGGACGTGGAAAGGTCGCATGTGAGCATCAAAGCGCTGGAGCTGGGAGATTGGCTGGAGGTCACCTGTGACTTCGACCGGCGCCAGGCCAGTGCCAAGTCTGTGAGTCACCTGTGACTTGGCGTGGGCCGGGGTTCCACGATGTTCCTTCCGCGCAGGTCACCTTCACCGTTTGGCCCAGGGACGGGGGCGATGCCTCGACCGCCACGGTGCCTCGGCCCTTGCAAACCAAACCAGGGGTGCTTCGAACCTTCAGCTCGCCCTTCCATGGCAAGTGCCTAGCCGCTAGCCTGTGAGGCTGCAGATCATGCGTAGCATCCAGTTCAAAACTGGTCTTTCCATGGTCTTCAGATTGTGCCTGTAGTTGAGGTGGACTTCTCCGGTGGAGCGGAAAGGCACCGTGCCTGCATGAGGGCTTGCAAATAAAAGTGCAAGGAACGACAAGGGAAGTTGCATGGAACACCGGGGTACACATATGATAGCAGGCTGCATAGGCAGATCGTAGGTTCAAGTAGAGCCTGAACCTTGCCCAAAATTGTCCAAAGGTTTCGGCGCTTGAGTGCCAAGATTCCGCAGTGTGCCAGCGGATACTTGGCAGTCGTCATGAAGCATCCGGGACTGAGCGTCTCTTTTGATTGATACGAGCCAGAATGCTGATGACGCATACTTGTATGTGTCAACGGGTCTTTCACGATCCATTTTGTGATAGATTGGGCGTAGCTCAACAGCTGCGAAGCTTCAGTCAGAAACACCAGAAATGAAGGCACGGTCTTTTTGCCTGCCTGTCCCTGGCTGTTCGCCATTCTTCGCCTTCGCATTGCTTTCGGCCTGTTGAAAGAGCAGACAATTGAGCAATACGAGAGCCCAGAAAGACTCTGCGAAAGCGGAAATGTTGAGTCGGATGTCGGCGCAGGTGGTCCTCCGCTAGGTGCCTGCAGTGACTGACCAATTTAGAGACTTAACTTGAGGGGCCTCGCACCCGTAAACGTGCTGACCTATGTAACGGACGTGCAGCAGGAGAGAGCCTTGGAGCTTGCTTTGGGTGTGCGAAGCCTAGATTTTGTCGTGCGGGTGCCGCACTGGCTGCGGAATCCTGCGTAGAGTAGGACAGCCCTCCGGCGAGCCCTCGTGGCTCCATGGAGTCAGACACCTGAATCCGAAAATCGCCTGAGTCTGACGGCGATTCGGCGCTTGGGCGCCAATTTTCAGGCATCAGCAATCTCTGATCGTGGAGTGCCTGCATCTTGTCTTCAGTGCAGCCGCTTACAGGATCTGCACTCAACATTACGGGCCTTTCTCAAAGAAAGGACGCTGGAGTGCAGGGTGTAGGCTGACAGAAGTTGCTTCCAGCTGCCACAGAGCCGCTGAAAGCGTAGAGCGTTAAGCTCTATACCCATAAAATCCGAGATGAGACGAGACGGAAAAGCTGATTCTCTTCTCCAGCGGCGCAGCGGCATGGGCATGGGCTGCCAGCATCTGTCCCAGCCTCCAGCGGACTCCAGCTCTGGTTCAGGAGCCTCTGCCGGGAGTCTTGGTGTTCCAGCTACTGGGCGCCGACCTCTGCAGCAGGACGGATCCATGACGCAATGCACATGCCATTCTATCGATTCGCACGGTCTCTTGTTTGTGTGCGTGTAGGGTGTACATCTGACACGATGAGCCAGCTTGTGCGGGGAAATGTCAGCTTCAGCACTTGTACATCGCCAGGGTCTGGGCTGAGACGGAAAACTACATCTCACAAGCGGAGGACCGGACGCTTCACAAGTCACAAGTTGTGTAGACCGTGCTCGCAGTTGCAGGAGAAGGGCTTGCCGATGCCAGTGCGGCATGATGGCTGCCTTGACGTCTCGCAGATCTTTCCAGAATTGCTGAGCCAAGTGACAGCGGAGCTGCCGCCATGATTTCCCTCGACGAATGGGAGCGGTTCAGGGTCAGAAGAGGGCCTCCATGCCAGGCAGCGCAGCCGGCCTTCTCTGCACTGGGCTTCGAGGCTTAGATCTTTGAGCCTGGGAGTGTGGAGATACGGCTGTGCGCAGTGTGAGTCGTCAAAGCGTCCGATCTGGACCTGTGGACGGACAGGGAGTTCGACTGCGGCACGCCTTCCGCACCAAGAACTATGCATCGAGAGAGGAGGTTGGTTCATTGTGGGAGTGCGAGGATCTTGTCATTTCGCTTTGCCTCTGCTCCTGCTGCAAATCTGCTGGACACGACAATGGAGATCGGGTCGGGGGTGAGTGGGGGACATTACTTGCATCTACCTTGGAGTAAATGCAATGACTCCCAGTTGCTGCTGTAGGCACTAGTTAGGCACTGCTATTGGTGACATTGCCATGTTTTCGACGACGAAGGGACGTCTGCTGCATGTATAGGCAGTTGAGTTTGCTTTTCCTCCGTCTACTTCTGACTTGGCAGACCTTTGTGCGGCACGTGGACAAGTACGCTGTCACACTCAACGTGCGATGCCTGGAAGGATTGCGTCGCATGTGCTGCCTTTTCTTCTACAGTAGCGGGCATTTTCGCGGAATCTCGTCTGCAGTGCGCCCGAATGGCAAGGTGTGCCTGCTGCGGACGGTCACATTACACGGATCCAGGCCCTGTTGCCGCCATCTCTGGTAGGATCGCTGACACCACACTGATGGTTTGAGGACACCCTCATGTAACGGAACAGAGATGCAGCGCTTGAAGCACTCAGATGTGAGTTTGCCATCGCTTGGCGCCGCAGGGTCTTCTTCTACGCCACCGAAGATGCAGTGGAACCAGCCTACTGCCACGAGCATCAGGTTCACCTTCTGGACCTGCCCTTGCGCTGTTGCTGATTCAGTGCATGTGCTTCTTGCAGGTGGGATTGGCCGTCACCCACTCTTCCAAGGCACTCCGGTTCTGTGGAGACTTTCTGCCGTTGCCACCTATCTAGAACTTTGCGTGTGGGCCAGGAGTGGCATCAGACTGAGAAGCTGTTTGCGGGTGAGCGCGGTTCCTTGATAATGTGGTTTGAGATTGGGTAGCGGAGATTCACCCCAGTCCTGAGCAAGGCAGGCATCAATTCAAGTTCAGAGTGTGCGAGGGGTCCTCTCTGGCCGTCTGATTCAGCCCAGCGGCCGCCAGCTGATGAAGGGCCCCCCCTACTTTCGGCAAAGTCCTACGTACAGCTTGCAGGGCAGCCGAGATCGAGACTGTTCCAGTCCGACTTGTACAGAGTGACACTCTGCGATGTGGATTAACGAATGCACGCAAGACCAGAAGTCTCACGTCATCCATGCAGGTGAGACTTTGGCGTATGCTGGGTGCCTCTGCGCAGGTCCTCTGCATCTTCGCAACAACCGGTGAAGTCTCTCAAGGGCGAGGCATGTCATGGTCGCAGGTGCAGAAGTGTGTACGGCACATTTTCTCCACACGTTTCTGCCAGGCTTTACGCTTTAATGACAAGCTGGTGGATCAAGCCGCCTATGCCCCCCGGCGTCGATCAGCAGTGCGTAGTTGTGCAAGATGGGCCGGAGCCCTCGAGGCTGCCGGCGGAGAGCGCCTGGTGCTCCCGCCGCATGCGCTCCAGGCCCTGGAGCCCCGGGGCCCATCGCGAGAGAGCCAGGGCGTTTGCTTCATCTTCCTTCATGCCCCGAGCCTGTGCCAAGCCACGCGTGAGGCTTGCCGGCTCTGAGGCGCCGCAATTGGACCGACCGGCTTGCGCAGAGCGGCCGAGGCCGCTTGCCTCTTTGCGTTTGCAACTTGTAATATCGAAGGGAACAGGTCATGGGTGCAGACACTCTGCCCGTCCAGATTTGTTCAAACAAACCTTTGTTACCGGTGGCTGCCGCGAGGCCTGACATTGACATTGATATGTAATCAGTCTGCATTGCCGGAGCCGGTTGGGAATGAGCTGACCTCATCCGGCTCCTTTTGTGTACTCTCGGCGCCACACGCGCGGCGAAGGGAGCGGTTCATGGTCTCACTTGCTGAGCGGGCTCCGAGTGGCTGCCCTGGCAGTCTGATTGTGCCCGCCACATTCGTTCGGAGCAAAAGCTGGGTCCTCAACAGAACATGTAAGTATCCGGTATCCGAGCTAACCCCCAAGACGCCTGGGCCTGTGGCCTCGGCAGATCAAAGAGGACGACCACATAACTGGTACCCACACCCCGACTCCCTGTTGAGGTAGCCGACTTAGACTGCAGAAGCTTTCCCACAAATCTCTGGTGCTTCAGTGCGGTGCGAGTCCCCTGAGTCTTGTAGCCTTAACGGCCCAATCGGAGCAGCATCCGAAGGGTTTACGAGGCAAGCGAGGGTACTTGGTTTATTGTGCCTGGCAGAGTCTTTCCTGCGCCATGTCTATGACTGCGACTGAAAGATGTGCTTGTCATGCTCTGGTGTCCCGAAGAAAATTGCAATCTTTTTGCCCTGTCTCGGGGCAACGACTGCCGGTCCTGCAAAGGGCCCGTTCTCAATGGGCTTAGGTGGACTCCATCTCAAGATGTCATGGCATCGCGCATGCAACTAGCCAGCGGCATGGATTTCGAGGGATGCGCAAGGCATCGCCATCATTAGTCCAGACATGCAGAGTGCTGGCTTCATCTGCTACTTACAGCAAAGCTTGCTTTGGTACAGCTGTAGTTCTAAGATGAGTTCTCTTCTCTGCAGAGCAATGGCATCGGTGTGTTGCTCTTTGTCGACGTGTGAACGCCATTACTTCTGAGCAGGCCAACATGCTGTGTTGTCTAAATGACAAGATTAACACAGGAGGCCTGGCAATATCGTAGTCGGACACAGGCATTGACTGTTCTCGCTCTTGTTCAGGTGCATGCTGAAGATGCCAGTTTGGCAGGCCGAGAGGGGCGAGGAAGATGTGTAACAAGTAGGACGAGAGCATTACACTTTGTTCTTGTTGTGCTCCGCCTGTCCTGCACAGATCTTCTTGCACCTCCTGCCCGTCCAGCTTTGGGCATTTCACCTGCCACCGTCAGTGCGGCCAAGACGACAACTGGTGCCAGTAAGATACTCTTCTATGCCACACGAGACGGAACTACACATCAGTGCAGATGGAGTCCCGTCAGAGTGGGCAGACATCGCGCAGTCTAAGCATGACCCTCATCTTTGGGAAGAGGATGGAGTCGTCCTTGGCAAAGGCGCGTTTGGCATTGTTGCACGCGGAATTAACAAGGAAACCGGAGAGCTGGTGGCAATCAAGCGTATTGCCCCGACCCACAAGCTGGCTGTGGCCACTGCGAAGAACGAGGTGGAGGCAGCAACACACTTGGGGGAACATCCGAACGTGGTGCAGATGAAGGCCTACTTCTTGGCCCCGCTCGAGCAGGGAAAAGGAACTCGCGAAGTGATTTTAGTTTACCGGCTGGCCCTGGGCGGTGATCTGCAGCAATGGATAAATCAACAGCATGGCAATGCCTTCGACGTGAACTATGCGCAGCCCAAGCTAACTGATGAAGCTTTGAGGATCATGCGGCAGCTCGTTTCGGGATTGCAACACATCCATGACCGAGGCTGGGAAGCACGAACTAGTTGGCCTTGCTGATGCAAGAGAGACACTGTTCCGAACGCAGGCATCCAGCACCGGGACTTGAAGCCTGCGAACATCCTGCTTAGTGCCGGCTGCACGGCCCTCATCGCGGACTTCGGGATCGCGCTGGTGAACCGGAGTTCTGCAAGAGAGCAGGGGCATGCAGCTCTCGGGGATTTTTACTTCATCGATGTGGACTCTCTCGTGACGAAGGAGCTACCCTACACCCGGGATGATGATGTCTACAGCTTGGGAGAAGTCTTCGTCCGCATACTCTTTGGCCGATATGCCACGGGCGGTGACCTGCGGAGGTTTGCCGAGGAGAGCTCGTCAGAACTGCCTCCGGTAGTGCGGATTTTGGAGCAAATGCTGACTAGCAGGGACCGGCGATGTCCCCTGTCCCTAGTGCAAGAGGTCTTGGATGAGCTGCGCTTCCAACCCAAGCCGTCTGAGCCTCGGCCTATCGTGTTCAGCATCTTCCTGGGCATCGGAGCTGTCATGACAGCGCGAGTTCTCATGGAGCACCTCCGGAAGAAGAAGTTCCGCAAGCAAGACATGTCGGTTTTCTCGAAGAGGTCGAACCTGAAATCGAGCCTGCAAGCGACGTTCTGTGTCGGCCAGACGCAGGGCCGGCGCCCATCTCTCCAGGACTACTACTGCCACGCCCGCATCGCTTGGAATGTGCACAAAGGGGCTCGATCCTGGAGGCTCCTGGGGATGTTCGATGGGCACGGCGGCAAGGACTGCGCGAAGTTTGCAGCTCAGTCCTTGCCTCACGAGGTGCGGGGCGGCACCAGTCACGAGTCACGAGTCGCGCTCTAAAGCAATCGTGTTTTTGGTCTTGCATGCTTGGAGTTTGCTTTGCTCGAAGGTCCGGCGCATGCTGCGAGAGACGGAAGCTGAGGCTGCAGGTTTGGAGGGTCTGCCGCTTTGGAGGCTGGCCTCCCGCGGCTTGCAGAAGGCGCTGGAGAGTCTGGATAGGTTGTACATCAAGTTCCGGCAGAAGAAGAACAACATGGATTTGTGTGGGACGACGGCCTCCGTGGCTTTGTTGAGTCCTGATGGATGCCACGCCGTGGTCTCTAACATCGGGGACTCTCGAACCGGCCTCGTCGGGGAGTGGGAGAAGCTCGAGCACACGGGCATCGGCCCGGAGAGCCCCTCGGGGCTCTTCATGACCCACGCGCACCGGGTCAGCGACCCCGTGGAGATGGCGAGGATCGATGCCGCCGGGGGCTTCGTGGAGTACGGGGGCAGCGGCCACCGAGTCAACGGCGTTCTGGGGGTTTCCCGAGCGATCGGGTACTGTGGGATCAAGGACTACGCAGATCTTGTTCCAGCATTATCGGACAACATGATCATGGAGAGGGACGGGACGAAAGCTGGGCCGCTGGCTGAGTGAACTGTTGCTTAAATCTTTTGTCTTCGTTCGACAGACACTATATGCAATGACTGAGGCTGGTTGGACTGGCCAGCGACGGCCTTTTCCGTACGTGCTCCGAGGAAGAGGCCTCTGCAGACTGGGACTGGGGCACTGTGAGAGGTTTCAGACTGATGCCTTTGCAGCCGCCCGGAAGGCTGAAACGGTGTTTCGGCGCCTGGCGCACGCTGACTGCCCCGTGGCTTACGTTGCAGCCGCGAGCAATCGGATTCGTGGGTTTGCTGGTTGGCGGTGGACTGATTTGCACAGCTCGAACCTCGGCCAAGGTTACGAATCACTTGAACAGCTTGTTTCAGAAGAGCTGGACATAGCCGGCGGCGGAGAAGCTGCAAACAACAAGGACCGGTGCCCTACTCCCGGTGCCATTGAAACAGCTTGATCAATAAAAGCATTGACATTGATCTGAAGGACAATGCGAGCATTCTTGCTTGCCTGCTCCCGCCGCTCTGATTTACCCAGGCCAAAGCATGCCTGCTAGCTCAGAGAACTCTTTGGACCTTTCGCGCAGGAGTGCTCTGCTCCGCTCCGTGTCGAAGGTTTGAAAAAGGATCTCAGATTCAAGCCGAGTCAATCGATCGAGCACGCCGGTCTCATGAGACAGAGGTGAAGGTTTCGGCTTGGCTGAATCTGCCGGCTTCAGTTTCCTACAGGTATTGCTAATCCAATGCTGAAGGTTTTGAATAGCGACACAGGAGTCAGGCAATTTGGGGACACAAGGCTTCTGCGGATCAGTGTCGCTATCATGCACTATCTCATTCGCTGGATCTTGGCGACTCATCCGAGACCGGAGGATTTGCGGTGGGTTCTGTGCTGGGCACTCCAAGGCAAGAGGTGACCAGCACGCATTACATAACGCTTCGTTTTCGGTGATCCGGCTCCCGTACGTTGAGGGCTCAAGAACCTTCGTCCCCAAGTGGGGGCTGTCACAACGAGGGGGTTTGGGGCCTTGAAGCTGGGTGAGAAAGCCTGGGCATCCTGAGCCCTACGGCTGGGGCCTCGATGGGGGGATTTCGAGACCTGAAAGCAGCACTCTCGTGAAAGCTCGAGTTGAGGCCCCCCGGGCCGGCGTGGCCTGCGGCGGAGGCGCAGGATGATGGCCCCCAACAACGCAGGCCCCCGAAGCTTGGGAACTTGGGCCTGGGATGCAGGGCTTGTCCGCAGGCTACACTTCCTATGCTCCGCCCTACGGCCATCAGGGCAGCGCTCCCAGAAAAGTGGAGTTTGGAGAGCAAAGTGGAGATGGAAGCCTCCCGTCCCGAGGCGGAAACGCCCCACAGGCCCACACCAACGAGGCCCAGGTTCCCTGCGCCCTGCGGGCCTTGGCACCCCGCCAGGCATACGGAGAGCAGTGGAATGGAGAGCCGTGGCAAGACTACGGGGAGGATGTGCAGGCCGTCCATGCTGTGCTTGGTGTGGCTGTTGCAGAGATGGATGGATTCGGGGTGAACTGTTGCGATGCCAACGTGCTAATAGTCTTAATGCGCAGCTCTTCTGTGGGCTCTAGACTCAAGACTCAAGACTGATGGTACACATGTAGAAACTACGTCTCGCAGAGCATCATACGATCATCCAATGCTCCGTGCCGGGCAGAATAGCGGTCGGCAGTGGCATACCGGTGCTGCAGCACCCGCAGAAGCAGCATAACTTTAAGAACTGGTTAAAAAGAGTGACTTGAATCGGAATGGCGAGCAATCACAAGCTGGTCTGTGCCCGGGCGGCCAGACGACAGTTCGGCGGCGCGTTTCAGAAAGCTGTTCGAGACTACCGCGGGGCCAAGTTGTCTGCTCTCACCTTGGCCAAAGGATTGGAAGAACGCCTCCCCGACGGACTTTCGTATCTTCCGCTGGCCTTTCTTTACGACGAGGAAGTGGCGCAGCTTTCCTGGGAAGGTTCCGTGGCGAGGGCCAATGCAGAGGCCCGTGCCAGGCAGACGAACTTCCGAGTGATGGCAAGGACTCGGCCTCTGCAACCGCAAGAATTGGAAGACAAACTTTACGAGTCTATCAGCTCAGAAAGAGGCAACAACGCAATCGTCGTACATGATGGGCGTGTCCATCGAGATGGCAGGACCATCTATGCGGTACACTCTCGCTTCTGCCTGGATGCAGTATTTCATGAGCGTGTTGACAACCAGGAGGTGTTTGAGGAGGCTGTGCAGCCTTTGCTGAATGCATCCCTTGAAGGAGGTCGTGCAACCGTGGTCTTTTTCGGCCAAACGGGCACTGGCAAGACGTATACCGCCCGTGGAGCCTTGGACCTCATGTCAGAGCTCGTCTTCGAGAAGACGGACAAAGTGGAGATGTGCTGCTACGAGATGGCAGGAACGCGGGGAGGACGGGAAGCCTTCTTCGATCTGCTTGCTGGCGAGGAGAAAAGGCAAGTGAAGTGCCTGACGGGCGAAGACGGCAACGTGCACGTGCGAGGTGCCCAGAGGATCGTGTGCACGTCCAGGAGATCCAACCCGGAAGCCCTTGGATCCTAGCTCTTGAACCCCAGGCATTATTAGGGTTACTAGGCCCTCAGCTTTACTTTAAAGCCACAAGTAGATCTTAAGATCCCCGTAGGACAGAGCTCTGCAATGCGATGGACAAGGCCTTCCTGTGGCGATCCTCTGAGTGCACCGAGCGGAACGAATCCTCCTCGAGGTCCCACTGCATCCTGGAGTTCAACTTCCCGGGTCCCGAGGATGGTGAGAGTTCTGGGCTCTTCCGTGTGGTCGACCTCGCTGGCTCGGAGAGAAACTTCGAAACCCAAATGCACAGCCGGTCCATGGCCGAGAGGGGTGGCCTCATCAACTACTCGCTTCTCATGCTCAAGGAATGTGCGCGGGTGATGCACAACAAGCAGAAGGATCTTGAAGGCCCGGAGATGCATGTACCCTTCCGATCATCCCGGCTCACCCATCTCTTGAGGAGTTCCTTCACAGATGACTCACACATGACCACCGTGGTGGCCACGTTGTCCCCGTCTCCCACAGACGTGGAGCACTCCCTGAACACGCTGCAGCACGTGGGGATGATGCGCTCAGCCAGGGCTTGGGAGAAGTGGTCCGCAGCTTTCAAGGAAGCGCCCGCCGAGGCCGCCGAAGCTCAGGCCACCTCCGCGGGCTTCGACGCCGTCCAGGGCCGGGGCCGCGCGCTGCACTCCAAGCTGCAGGATGCACGCAAGGGTCAACTGAACCTGCATGCTTTCCAGATGAAGACTGCCGTGGGAGGCAGCATCATGAAGAAGTACGAGGCCCAGAGCGCGAAGACGGAGACCTTCATCGATGCACGGTGGCACCGAGAGCTGAACGTGAAGGTGCAAGATGACCTCTGGGTGCTTCGCGATGCCGACGCGGAAGCCACGCAGATCCTCTCCTCCTGGAAGGCCGAGCAGTGGGCCGCCTCCAAGGCCCCGAGGGCCCGGCCCAATCCCGTCTCTCCTTACAAGTCTCTTAAATGAGTGTCTCGGGCTGTGGCTCTGAACCCGTCCCGTCTTTCCTTACAGTCCGACTTGTAAGTGCGTAGTGAGTCGCAGATCTCAGCTCCCAGGTCCACGATCTCTCGCGCTGGAGCGCCGAGACGCTGCAGGCCTTCCTGCGCACGCTGGACCTGCCGGGGGAGGTGAGGATCCCCTCGACCATGACGGGGGCGCAGCTGCGCCGCTTGGGGCGCAGGCGCGGGGATGGTCTTTCAAACTTTCAACTTTCTTTCCTGAGGGCTTTTTTTTCTGCGGCGACGTTTGACGTTCATTTGCACAACTCGGGGCCCTGCTCTCAGGGGCTTGGCGGCGCTTTGTAGCGATGCCGCCACCGCCGAGGCTCTGGACAAGGCCCTGACAGGCGAGAGCCAGGCAGGCAAAGCAGCGGCAGCGGCCCACCGAAGCACCAACATCCGCATGACGGCCCTCGGAAACCACAAGGTCCATGCAGCCATTGAGCCCATCGAGATCGAGCCCGAAGCCGCGGTCGATGCGAGCACCCATGCGCATGCGCAGCATGAGCCTGCGCTGGCAACAGCAGCCGCTTGAGCGCTAGCCGAAGCCGAAGCTGAACACCACCTTGCCGCCAGTGCTCCGCATCGCTGCGCCATGTCTCGGGGCGTTGTACAGAGTGCCCTCTGAATTCGCCATGGCTTCTTTAAGATTTGACCGCATTTGCTTCCCGCCGAACAGAGCCAGCCGTCCTTAAAGCTTTCTGTCCATGAAACATGTTACACGCTACGCAAGAGGCCTACAGCGAGATGGACTGGCACGACCAGCGCCAGGCTGCACACGGTCTGCAGTCTGTACAGTGCTCAACTTGCCGATAACTGGTGGCGCAGTATGACACTATGACGAGAGCAGACGGTTGTCGGTGGACAAGCTGGGCTGTCAGCTCGGACAGCTGTGGCCTGTAGGCGCAGTGGATGCAGCACATCGAGAGCCAGTACTTCAGCAGGCCTGGCAACTTAGCACTGTAGCCTAATTCGTGAGCTGGTAGCGAAAGTGTAGCGAAGTCTGTTGAAGCCCCCCAGTTGGCCATGTGGCAGTATCCATGCGAGGTGGAGCATCGACAAGCAAGACGCCTCCAAGCTGGAATTGTGAGAAGTGCACAGTATCTTAGACAGGGCTATACATGAACAGGAGCATGGGAGCATGGTGTCCTGGCAGGATCTAGCAGCCGTAGGCTGAAATCCGCTTTGTCGCAGGGCTTTGCTGTCGTTTTGTGATCTTGTTCGGTCTCTTTGCGCCTCAGGAGTGGCAAGCGTATCAATCCAAGTTTGATGCCGCACAGGGGCCACAAGAGATTCTCAAGGACGAGGGTAGTCTGAAGGGCGGATGCTAAGCTCGGTGTGTGAAGTGGAGCTGTGCCAGAGCAACTATCTTGACGCGTCGGAGGAGAGTCCTGTCCCTGACGCTTCACGGTGGCCCTCCTCCTCCAGCTCCAGAGTGTGTTTCGGGGTCCTGCATTGCCTGGGCTAGTAGGAGGGTGACAAGTTCGACACGCTTGCCTTTGCTTTGCTGAATGGTCGATGAACGGAATTGAGAAGTGAAGAGAGGGTCACAGTTGTCCAACTGGCGGCCTCCGCCCCTTGTTGACTGTCTGCCGCTCGTGCCTGTGCAGCTTCAGACGAGTCAGAGTTGGTGCGCTGTGACGAAGATGCGCTCCCACAGCACAACCTTCATTGAAGGCTTTTGAGCATGCCACCAGTAGGATAGCAATTTAGTATTTAGCAATGGCATGTTGCCGCGGGGCTGGTCTTCCACGACCGATGAGCATGCCTGCTGCAAGGCATCACTCGTAGCACGTAGCAGCACATTCATGATCTCCTGCGTTGAGAGCGCCTGCAGCTGCAGAGGCGGCAGATCAGGACTGTCCAGGTTTCGGTCTCCCATTCCATGTGACTCAACCTGATGACATGTTCTCTGGGCGACTTTTCGCTGTTGCACTGGCCCTGCTGCGCAGCTTTACGCCTTGGCTCAAGATG